TATAATGTCTGGCACGCTGTTAGCTGCTACGTTCTTTCACAGATGATCCCTTTGTGTTGTGGTCATGTAGCTACATCAGCTTTGTGCTGTATTTGTAATTCTCATACAGCAAATTTTTTAAAAACAGAGTCACATATAAATATAGACACAGATAAAAACTTTTTTTCCATGTGTATGTCTGTCTCTTGTACCCTTCTCTGGATGTCTTTTAAATTATCTTGTACTATACCTGGCACCTTAATGCCAAGATGCATACGTTTCATTGATCATTAGGGTACGTATATTGATTCAGGGGTGGCCAGCCTGGGGAGCACATGCCACAAATGGAACGGACAGCTTGTGTGCGTGCGTGTCGTGTGGCAAAGCAGTGCGTGCGACAGCCTGTGTGCATGTGTCATGTGCAAATCAGGGAGGTGGTAAGCAACACTGCGGTAGATAGGACGCAAAGCAGAAAGTAGAGCAGCAGATAGGGAAGGAAGCAGAGCAGCAGATCAGGCAGGGGAAGGGGATCAGAATGGCACTCGGAGAGGATGCACGGCTAATTTGTGGTATGCCTGCTAAAACGGTTGGCCCCCACTGCATTGCATTGTACTTACGCTGTCAGCCAGTGCCATCCCAACAGGTTACGTCCGCTCTCTATGACAAAATACCCTCGGAGCCTTTGTGAAGAGCTGCTTTTGCCGGCTGTGGGTATTTCACAATTGGCGACTTGATAGTAAACTCGCAGATTGTGGAAGCTAACAGTGGTAGCTAGCTGTGTACTAGCAGACTGGAAAATAGACTCCTGCTTGATAGATCCCATAGACTCTTGATAATGACCTCTACCTTATTTTGAGACATTTGGAATATAGTGAGCAGCAGGGAATAATTAGGTGGAAGTAAGGTATAGATAGGGCAGGAAAAAAGAATGTTCCACCTTTCCTGAAATTAGTGCAATTCATCTATTTTACCATTGCTTTGAAGCATCTTTTTGGCAAAGGATACTTCAGGCTGGGCCTAGTGTTCCCCTCAGTGGCCATGTTTACATGTGCACTTAACTGCAGAATAGACTAATTAGCTGCAAAGTAAAGCATCACCATCTACACATGTGACGCAATTAGGCTACAGTAAACTAACACCACTGTGAGAGAGTACTGTTGGGGACAACAGTGTCTTAGGGAGGGGTAATTACATGCAGTTAAATGCACGTGTAGACACTGTGCCTGGGAGTAGATTACTCCAGGTCATACTGCTCCAGAGTTTATTGCTTTAAGTAATTGCACGTGCAGCAGCACTTTCGAAAGAATGGAGACTACATACATCTGTGTGGTCTAAATGTTATGGAATGGGGGCAGTGTCTGTCCCAAAAAGAGCATCGTCTTCACAGATATTTAACAGGGGCCAGAGCCTGGTCTGACATTGGTGTGAGCTAGGAATGAAAAGAGTTACTTCAGTCCTAAATGAAATCAGAATCTGGTCCTAGGACTGTAAAGTTCAGAAAGGCGAGTTGCATCCCTGGTACTAACATGCTAGGAAAGCGGGGTTACCTGAGCATAAAGAACAACTCACCTAGAGGCATGTGAGATAAGCCAAGTGGTTTTGTTTTGAGAAAAGTTTCAACAAAGCAAGCTTTGAATCCCTTATGCCGTGTGCTGGAGGCCACATGATTCCCACCTACTCGTACATCCTAATAGTGTAAGAGAACTCACCGTGGCAGTAACTTCCCTTTTTCTGTTATGTGGTGGGAAATGTTTGGCTTTGCAAATTAGTTTGCAAGTTAGAAAAGGCAGGTACTTACAAATACTTGTAGTGTCTAGCTAATTTGTTATTGAAACAGCTGAGTGTCATAATTAAACTGCTGGTCCCAAATGATCAGAAAAGAGTAAGGCAGCTTCTTGTCTTGCTGTAGCTTACCTCCAGTGACTTATTCTCTATTTGTGCAAACGACTGTATTTTCAAACCAAGAGATGCACTGGCTGTACATCTCTTTTGTCATAGACTCTATCTAATTAGACTCAGCTGTCAGCGTCCACACATTCAGTCAAACCAAGAGCAAAGCAGGAATTCACGCTGGTGTGAAATACAGCGTAGAACTCGTGCTGGTTTCAACCCAGCATAACAACTGCAGCGTTACACAGTGTTACCGAAAATGTTGTCTTGGGTATAACAGACGAGTTCATCTGAGAAGGTTTCAATTAAATCTGGAAATTTCCTGCACTTTTGTAATTAAAAGAGCAAAAGTAATACAATTAAATAAGAGTGTATGTATTCTTACAAAGACCACAAGGCAATTTGACTTCTCAACATCAAAGCTCTGAATACAAAGGGAGCACGTCCCATCTGCTCCACGTATGTGGCCCTCACAAGTCATTAGAATGATCTTCTTAAAATTACAACCCAGCAAGAGCAATCAGTTTTATGTATCCAGAAATTATTGTCCCACTGCCCATCTGCATGTCTTTCAAGGAATGTAGTACAGAAATGGAAGAGCTAGCTCCTCAGGGAAATCATTCTCATCTTCAGTATACATATGCTGTGCTACAGTTAATCAGACAAGCTGTACTGATGTCTTGGCACCATTGCACAACTGAATATGTAACAAACAAATAATTCTAGGACCCAAAGATATACGGTACTTCAGGTCATGCATAGATGGGAGGGATTTAAATAGTAAGGTGAATCAAGGTTATCTCTTTGTCTCTTGCAGGTTAAAATAGTGTGATATTGTCCTGAATCACCTGCCAGATCACACTAATTCAGTTTAGTAATGCTGCTTTACACTAGCGGTGTTAAAAGACTTCATAACGTATAAAAAATCTTGAAAAAAGAGACATATCTCTCTGTGTCTCAGTAAAATTACTAACTGCAAGAGTAAAGCGGTATTTACAACTTCCGAAAATGCATGTAACTTCACTAGTAACAAAAATAAGATGAACAAAAGCAGCACATTTAAATATTTATAAATTTCAAAGGCATTTCATATACCAGTAAATGTCTTCTTCTGCCTTTAAAGCCTACCAGAAAAATAAATGTTGTAGAAAGGATTGCTCAGTGGTGCTGTTTCAGATGTGTTTTATAAAAATACTGTGTGTTTATTTCTTTTCCCTAAGCCCAGAGAGGTCAGTTATGTGAACTTTAACGATGATCATTTTATAATCACAGTTCATTCTCACTTGCTTATCCCTATAAATGCTGCATCATTGTGTAAAGGAACAAATTTTCCAGTGTATAAATAGCTTTTGCAATGGAATTTGTTCTTAAAGTATTATGAAGCACTGTGGACGCATCAATAGCTCATGTCTTCGTGCAGGCATGTCACAGAAACACTTTAATCAAATCGAGCGCGCTGTAATACATTTGGCTCTATCACGTCTTCCAGTGTGAGGTAGGAAGCCATGAGCTTCCACAGGCTAGCTAGAACGCCTCTGCTGGTTATCGTTCTCTTCTTCCCGGACAGATTTACACTCTTGTGGCACCGAGCTCACGTAAGTCACCCTCGTGTAACCGTCTCTCTTGTACGTTTCTTCCCAAAAGATGGTGGACGACAGAACAGGCAAATATCCATGCTCCACTCCGAGCACAGGGTTGTTGTTAAATGTATAGGCTAAAGAGATCAAAGAGAACCTTGCAGCTAAGATGTCTCCTGATTTATGCACTGTTTCTGTTGTTTACTTGACTAGTTCTGGGGTTTATATTTGCAACTAACCTACTAGTTCCTTTGTGCAGTGTTGTGTAAACGGACAGCACTATGCAGAGGTGTTTAGTAACTAATAATCTAGCTCTGCTTTCAGCTCTGCTTGTTACCCTTAATCTGTTCTCAGAGAAAAGTGAAATCTGGTGACTTGAGTGACCAAGGTATTTTTTTCCCATGCGCACGGCTTGCTTCTTCATAGGGAAAGCTCCGTGAATGAATTGAGACTGTTTGGTTCTGCCGTAGCATGGTTGTGTTAGAATTTAGGAACAAAATGATATAAGTGATGGACCGCACGTAACCGAGAGCGAGTTGCATATAATCGTTACTCCCTAGACTGAAATAAAATGTCCGCTTAACTCACAGTCCATGTAAGCTATCCAAAGGAGACAAAAGAAAGCAGTAACAGCTGTCTAGCATGTGTGCAGTACTGCTATGTGGGTTGGAAGGGTGCTTGTATAATCCAGGGCTTTTTCCCTTAAATGAGCACGACACTCTCTTAGGGCCCAGTCTTCAATCTACCGAGGTGAATAACAGAGCTCCTTTGATTGCAGTGGCAGAGGGCTGGACCATACAAGGTGACCCTCATCTTTGTAGCCAAACTGTGCTACCTGTCAGGGATGGTGAGAGTTTCGGTAGGATGGCGATGGGAGAGGGGGCTTCCTTTTATGCCTTTCCTGGTCAGCGGGGACCCTCAGATGACTATCCCTGCTTATCCAATATTTCCGTCTTCCTTGTCACTTGGTTTTCTCTTCGGTGTTTATATTTTTAGTTTCAGGATCAGGGCACTCTCGATGTGTATTTGTTGGGTGTTTCATGTAGATCTTGTTTGGAACAGGAATAGAGAATGAGTAACATTGCACTTTTAAAAAAGTCCCCCAAATGATTTTTTTTAATTAACTTTCAAAGAAAGGGAATCTCTGCAGAACGAATCTCTTCTGTTTGGGACTTAAACTTATGGCAGGCCACATATCAGTTCAGCAGCGACATGAACAGACACGTGGTGCTTATTGGTCGGCACCCGTTGTCCAAACTGTACTAATATTGGGACCCGCAGGCTTCCATCAGTCTGAGCTAGAACAGGATCTGGACCTGTGTTTTCAAAAGTGTCTGATGTGGGGGTTTCCATGTGAGAAGCTAAAATTTGTGTTTAAAGTCCCGAGCCCCTCCCTGTGTTCTCTTCCCACTCCATGACAGTGGGAGTTGCTCGCTCAAATATGAAAGAGTAATTTTGAAATCCTACATCCAGATGTTCTGAGATGCGTCATGAACACCATCATGCGCTACCAGTTTCTTTCACAATCACAGTTGTTTTGTTTTCCAAATTTAGGATGACCTCAGTGAGTCCATGCAGAGCCCTCAAACCATCAAGATCAGTCATGGTACATCGTTTGATTTGCCAGTGTTAAAAGTGATCCCGTTAAAGACGATGTCAGGAAGTCCCGAACACTGGAAGAGTGAAGGATGGAGCAGGTGTACCCACGTGGAAACAGTGTCCTCAAAAACAGGAGGCTTACTTGTGAAAAAAGTAGATGCTAATAACACTCAGAGCAGCTTGATGCCCACCCCCTGTCTTTCTCCAACTGGAAATAAACCTGACTGTAAAGAAATCCCAGAGGCCTCTGAAAAGGCGAAGGGGAGTGCAGTTGGTCAGTTAAGAGCATCAAATAGTAAGAAGTCCCTCAAAAAAATCTCAAGAGAAAATTCAACTCCGGCAACTGAGACATCTGTAAGTGAGTTCACATTGGAATTAAATGATTTCCATGGTTTGAACAGAGATGCTGCAACACATTTCAGACCTATTTTATTTATTTATTACACCTACTTTGCACCAGTTGAGAAAAAATAGAATAGTGTATTTTTTTCTCTAGGTGTTTTCATGATCACCACACCTACAGTAAGCAAAGCACAGTTTGGTTCCTACACTGGGGTTTCCAGTATTAGATTGACGTTATCTTGCACATACAAATATTACTGTAGTTGCAAGTAGAAATCAGTGAGTTTACAACCAAAAGGCAGTATGCTTGTACAGTCCCACAACTCGGGTTCTCAGACAGTGTGAACTGTAAATGCAGACATGCTGGTAGTTTGGGGCTGAAAGGCTAGAGAGGCAAATTGACAGTTTTTTCGTAACAATCTACAGGAGAAACTATACAAAGATCATTAGCCTGTGCACTTCAGAGTTTCTCTGCAGCAGCCCAGAAACATAATAAATGATATGATTGAAGGCTAACAGTAAGGCAGTGTCATAGACCAAATCCCCAGGCTACTCCGGAGACTGCATTCATGTCCATCAAATTGCTTTTTTTTTTTCCCTTGTGGGTTTTTTTTTCTTCCTTTCTGTATTTTCCATATAAGAGGACAAATGAGCCTGTTCTAAACAAGTGACATTGCTGTGCATTCCTTAACAGTACAGGCTCTTTCCACCAACTTTTAATGTTAAATAAATAGCTTTGAATAGGGAATTAACATTTATAATTCAAGTGTGTTCTGTATGTAGAACATCAAAGAGCATATTCTGATCGCACATTTGCTCGTCCTGTTAGGCAGGTTGCCTTTTTAACTGAGGGATCCTCCTTACGTGATTGAGGTTTAGGAGTATTGAGACAATACTCAAATATCCTCGCTCATCGTCACATTTATTTCTCTCACTCAGTACTGTTCAGTTGTTTTAGCTTTGAGAAATTGTTGCATTTTTAAAGCACCAAGTATGTTAGTCCCAACCAGAACTGTGTTGTCTTTGCCCAGAAGAAATACACTTAGTTCAGGGCAGGCAGCTCAGTGATCAGTTCACTTCCACCTGTCTTGGGTATTCCCAGCAAGAACACTGCTAGGTCCTGTAGATGGAGGCAACATAGATAGAGACACTTTCCCCAAAAAGCTGCTTTTGTTTTAATCCCTCCATACGTGGTCAATGTATTGATTTGTGCCATAATTTCTCCTGAATTTTTTGGGTGGTTTACTGTACATTGTGCTTATGTTCACTTGATATAACATTTTGTTACGTCTTTTTTCAGGGATTGCACACTGTTTTCTTCCAAGATGTCTTTCTATTGCATCATTGTCATTTTTTTCCTACCACCTTGCCCAGCCCATCAGGAAACATCTATTTTAGCACCTGTTATTTGAAAGTTACCTGTTCTGTTTTGGATTTGGAGTGCTCAGCTACAAAGAAACAGAGAATCTCTCTTTGTGAACAGAGCTACTATATGATTATTTTTTATTTATAATTACTATCATTATTTAGATTTGTCTCGCCTGATTCAAAAAATTGTTGGTGAAAGCCAAGCATATGAATCTCAAAAAGACAGTAAATCTCTCTTCATTTTCTTGGCTTATATCATACTTGCAGAGTGCTAGAGTGAAAAATAAACACATACTGTCACAGTCCTGATCCTCTTATCATACCTGGTCATTGGGGAGCTCCGTGTGCAAGGGAAGAGAATTAACAGCTGGACCGAGAAGCCTAACTGGAAAAACAGGATGGCTCTAGGAGGAGTGGTAGCAATGAAACAATCCTGCTAGTATCTCTCCCTCCCAAACACCTTCATTGCTACTGCAGAACATAGGAAAGAGCCAGAGGAAAACGGGGTGTAGGACTGCTGGAAACCAAGTGTAGTGATTTATAGCAGTGTTTCTAAACCCGTGGGTCACAACCCAAAAGTGGGTCATGATCAATGAAAGGGTCATGAACAAACTTTAAAAATGGATTCTCCTTTAAAGGAGAAAAATGTGGGAAACAGTGGCTTTTCCCTTGCAGGCAGGCAGAGCTCCAGCCTGGCAGGGGCTGCTTGGGGCCCCCACGTCCAAGCTGTGGAGTCAGTCTTAGCAAGGCTACCATTGTGGGTAAAGCAGTCAGGTGTCAGCACAACTGCGGTCTGAGATAGACTACATATACAGTACTTGGTTGAAACTGGATATAGTGTTTTCCAAGCAGCCTTCATAGCTTGGAGTTCTTTGCTCCTTTTCTGTCTTATTTCCTTGCTCCAGATTTTGTGCCGAAATGGAAATGCCACTCACTGCTCTGAGTATTCTGTTGTTTTGGGATTAAAACCAGGCTTTTTTAGCACCTCAGGAATAAAATCTACTGTATTTTCTGGTGTTAGAGCATTATAAACATATGGGTCATTCCAGTTAATTTTAGAATAATTCTAACAGACTGCTAGAAATGGACTTTTCTGCATATTACTACACAATTAGAACATGTACAAACCTAGAATTAGGGGTGTTTTACATGGTTAGCACCCATTGCGGTGGTTTTAGGTTTCCATCATATTTCAGGAAAAAGATATGGAAGTAACACATCATTAAGGACCACTAGACAACAGTATTTTATTCTGACTAATGTAAGGAGCTCTTCTTTCACACTCCATTTTTTAAAATGTCATTGAGCTAAGAATTGGAAGGGAAGTGACGCAGCCGGGTGACAGGGGCACTTCCATGTCGGAGGGCTCGCCGTTTCCGGCGAAGTGGCCTCTTCCAGGCTCCTCGTACAGAGGGCTGGTGAAAATGCTTAAAAGACTCTTAATGAAATTGATTTGCTAACTACTTAGTAAACTTTAAGGACCTGGTTGCTTGCAATGTTTTATTCATGTTTTAATAGAGTTCTCTATTATTAAGTTCAAATATTTTTAATTAAGAAAGAAGTACAGCCCTCTGGGTAATATTGCAACCATGTAGATAGCTGGTAATTAAACTTTTCCGCACGCATAACTACATTCAAACAATTCTGAATAAATCATTTGAGCCTAGTCGAATGCGAATGTCATTATGTGCATCTTTAACAGAGGACAAATGCCTTTAAATAACAGGTTTTGTCAATCCAACAAAAGTTTAAGAGCTTAAGAAAAATGTTTCTTATCATAAGGAGAGGATATACAGAAAGACAAGATAAGCGTTTAATTACTAACTGAAGTATTCATTTTGAAAAAATTTAGGAGCACGGCAAAATTACTTTCTACGTCAAAAATGTCCTATAAAATTCAAAGTGAACTTAATCTCAAATTCAGTTTTCGAATTCTCTCTTTGAAAATCAGCTAAGACACTGAATCTTGTCAAAGGGTTTTTTAACTAGGCATCTGAAGCTGCAGAATCCTCCCCCCAGCCTTCCCTTTTTTGTACAACGGAGTTTACTGAAGGGAAGGAGAAAGCAGAGGGTTGGGCGGTCCTCTCTTCTCTAAGATGTTGCTTGCACTGAGGAGGAGGAGTTTTACGTAGAAGGGAAACAGACTGCCAAAGCCTTGATATTTTTTAAATAAGCATAAAAATATCTCAAAAGACCAAAAAAATGTAAATGGGGGATGAGGAAGATAATGGGTTTTCTTTTCTTTCTTGCCTGGATTTTCTCTCTGAAACTCACTGAAGGGATTTCACAAGTTCATGCCATCTGAATTATTCCATGCCAGCTAGTCTGAATGAGAGGGCTGCAAGAAGCTCTTATAAAAAGTAAATTATATGAAGCAGAAAGTTCATCAGCAGGAGAATTCGTGAGAAAGCTTTCAACAAGTTCAGCAATAGAGATATTATGGTAGTGAGAGCTCTTATTGAAGATTGATGCAACAATGAAAAAGATGGGGGTTTTGCTACACAGCCTCCATGTTATGGTCACAACCGAAGGCTATTGTATGTATGTTATTCTCAATAAGAGTTGAGAGAACCTGGCACGTGGTGTAATAGGATTCAACTCTGGTGACAGCGATCACAGGACAGATGGAGAAAGCAAGAAAGCCTGGGACTCAAAAAACCCCACCAAAACAGAGTTAAAGTGTTAAAATGGTGAGGCCAGTTGTCACTCAGACATCATGGAGATAGATGCCTTAACAACTGCATGTTTGCTGCAAAGATTCCTGGGATAAAATATATCTAGATAAAAGTGATTCGTGCCAACATAAATCAGCAGTTTTCAGAGAAATACCAATGCAAGTTCTTTGCACTACCATGAAACCAAGAAATGCCTCTTGATCTGGAGAGAGAGAGATTTGGAGAAGTTGCGGGTGAGCCATTAAGCTTGGAGACCCTGGCACACCCCAGACCTGGGGAACACAGTTTAAATCATGTTACGTTTCCAGGGTGGAGTTACCGCCATGTATCGAGAGAGACAGGTACTCGTGCATGGTCACACCTGTGGCTGCAGGACCGCCCGCCCAGGTTCTGCAGAGTCCCAGAGCGTTTGGCCCAATAAGGCCTGACAAGGACACAGCTACCTGCGTCGGAAAATCTTGTTGTAGCGTTTAAAACTATGGTGCAGGAGCTCTCTGAGGCCGTAAGTCCAGAGAAGTGTTTTCTTCAGAGCAGTAGGGTAAAGGGGGCTCGAGGTGTGTGCACAAGGTTGTGAACTAGGCTTTGATCTAGATTTTACACCCCACCCCAGCATCCTTTCTTTGCGTACTCCGCTGTACAGGATGAACTTGGCCATCGCGAGCCACGTCCGACTGAGGCTGGCTGTCAGCTGGCAGGTACCTCCGCCCATTGCAGACAGTGTGTAAATGAGTTTTGCTTTGTTACGAATCTCCCCGTGACCTGGGCCATTCCAGGGGGCTCGCAACGTAAAGGCAGGCTGAAATGCAACAGGTTTGAGACGAGTTGTCGGATCACCTCAAAAAGCATTATAGTGGAAGGCGTAAGCAAGTGGGAAAAGGCACCGTGGAGGTGAATGACAGAATGGGGCGAAGATGGAAGACCTGAGGAAACTGGGAATGATATCATCGCCTTTAAACTCGAGAATGGACATGGCTTATTTTCCTGTAGCTACATCTGCACCCGTGGGGAAAACACTGCGCCCAGCAGCTGTACAACTCAAGAGCAAGCATCCCGAAGTAGGAGAGCCCTCTGGAGCAGGGGCTTTGCCTTTCTCTAGGTGGACGGCATCGAGCGTGTCAAATGTGAAATAACGACCGCAGACAGACGCGCACCAAAGCTTAGTTGTTGCTCGCTGCCCGGCTGTTAACACAGCTGAGGGAACGCAGGTTTAAATGCCGCGGCTTACAAAGCTAATTTCAAGAGGGAGCTGCCAGTGATTCACAACTGGTTGTCAACTCAAACAGGTCTGGGTGCTTGGAAATACATTTGATCTTGAATAGTTCAGCACTTCAGCACAGTGGCTGGCAACATTTTATAAGGCACAGTTTGGGCATTGTGACTCCCTCGGTTGGCTGCGAATACCACAGGCCATTCAGAATAACTCTCATAATACAGAGGGATTGAGCTAGGTGATGGTTTTTGGATACTACACATAGGCTTCAAAATAATGGGATTAGCTTAATCAAGAGTTTTTAAAAACATGTAATAAATGGGTTCTCCTTATTTAACACTGTTTTCTACGTTTCCCTTTGCAGCGATGAGAACTAAAAAGTTCTTCCTGAAAACTGAGATGATCACAGAATCTCTTGCCTCCAGAACCTGGGGCTTGCAGTAAAATGATAAATATTGCAAGATCTGCAACACTGCGTATGCATATGTCAGGAGTAAATAATATGGTGGCTGCCAGCAGGTCCTGCAGAGTGGCACCGGAGATGCCGAAATTTCCTCCCCACAGTTAAAATATAACGTGATTTTGCACATCACTGGATGGGAACTGTTTCTCCATTAATGGTGGCCACAGCCCGCGGGTAAAAATACGCTGCATGTCGAAACACAAGAAATTGAACCAGCAGAGCAGTCTAGGTGCAGAGTGAAAAGCACCTGTTGCGTGGTCTCTTGGCACTTCTGGTAAATAGCAGGCCTCTCCATGTCTTGATCCCAGTCTCCCTCCCCTGCCATTGCACAGTACACAGCGTACGATGCTTCAGTGCTGGGCATACGTACTGGGCCCCAGCCCGGCCCTTATTTCGGCGAGAAAATGAGCGGCGCTTGGTTCCTGCAATTCACCCTCAGCGGGAATCTTGACCTTGCAGCACAGCACTTTTGCCAGGTGTATCGGGGGCTTCTGCAAAACAGAGTACCTGAACCCAATCATCTCTTAATAAGTCACACCCAGAAATTTGGAGGCATTTTTAAAAGCAAATGTCATGCTTAAGCAAGTCACTAGCTTGCTGGCAGTGGCAAATTCTCTCAGTAGAATAAATCCAAGCAGCAAGAGAAGCTTCCCTATGCCGCCTCGCCCAAACGCTTCCAGCTCCCCGGGATGGGTTTGCTTCTCTTGTATGAAGGATTACCTAGACAACACCGATCGTTAGTTGTGATGCTAAACTTCATTTGGTAGGAGCCGGAGCAAGAATACCAATTCACTTTTGTAGTGCTGCTGCCAAAGTATCGCACCACTCGAGCCAAACTCCACCGCTTAGGATTCATGGCTCGAGTAGGAAAACTTTGCAGTCCCTGCGAATGCTGCAGTGGCTCTTAACACCTCTGACTAAAACAAAAGTTTCAGAAGTCCCTCTTGTGCTGCTCGGAGAAGCAGGGGTCCTGAAAGCCTCTTCAAAAGTTGAGCTTCTGCTGAAAAAAAGAAAGCCCACTTAAGGCCCAACCTGTTGTGACATTACCTGTGTTTTACTTTTATATCGTAGAGGTTTTCACGAGCCACAAGTCAGACTTATTAATGGCAATGTAGGTGACAGCGTAGCTCATTGTCGTTGCAGCTTTTGATCTTCTGGATTGAATTTGAGGCAGCGAGAAGAATGAAACGTTCTCTGTGAACTCTGCAAACTGACCCCTCTCGAATGATTGGACATACAAAATCCAGTATACACCTGAAAGTACATGTCGCTGGGTAGTTGCCAGAGGCCAAATCGTCTTTCCAAAACCCAGATCCAGTACGTCTGTTATGGAAATGCTGCATGTGATGTAGCTTGTGGCAAACACCAGACCTCCTGCTTTGTGGTCTTTGACTGCTCAGTAAATGGAGGCTTTGTCATCTTCAGCGTCTTTGGTTTTTGTCTTTTTGGAGACCTTTCTGCCTGCAGAGGAACAGGGACTTCCCCGCGTGCTGTGGGTTCAAGCTGCACAGCAGGCACTGCACAGCAGGATTTTCCAGTCTAGGAACGTATTGACATCTGGTCCTCACCCACTGGAACAGAAATCTGTTCCTTATCCCCTTCTAATAAATAGTTTGCTTTTTTCTTGCCATGTTAGCTGCTTCTAGAAAAAAAATCTCTTCTGCTCACTCGGGGAATCTATTTTGCTTGTATATTCACTTCCACTGTCCTTTCTATGCTAACTTGTGCAAGTGCAATTTGGTTTCCTTTCTTAGGCATACGACTGGAGAAAATACCAGCCAAGTGGCCTGAGCACGTCTGAACTGCAGATGTTGGCCAGCATGAAGAGGCAGCAAAGTGAAGACTCTGAGGATAACGGGGTCCCACATGGGCTGAGCGCCTCTCAGATCGACACCTGCAACGTCAGCATCAGCACGAGCAGCGACGACACGACGACCTGGAACTCCGGCCTGTCACCCGTGAGTCTGCCCCTTCGCTGTACTTCCGTAAAGTTGTGTGAACGGGTAACCAATGACAGTGTCCAGCAGAGGTCCAGTGGGCTCAGTCAGTAAGATTTCTGTAGACACGCCTGAAAAGGTAATTCTGATATTGTGGGAATGCACACTTTTAGTAGAATTTAGCCAATAAAATGTGGTCACTGCACAGAGTTTAAATTCCCTGTGCAGAAAGCGCTCCTCTCGCTTCAGGCTGCAGACAAAAAGAATGCTTTGCCCTCTTCCCCTCGACGCCATTGTTCAAGAAACATAATGTTCCACCCCCACGCACCCCTCCACGGACGTGCTTTCCTTTGTAGAGCTGTAGTTTAAATGCAAGGTCAGCTGATAATTTAAAAACAGCCTCTGCTTTGATTTAATTCAGCTCTGATCTACTTGCTTCTTCCAGTGTTGGAGAAAGAAAAACTGGTCCCCAAATGTGCGCTGTTCCAAGGAGCAGAGGAACATTTGTTATGGTTCACTGAGCACTCGAATGCCCAAGGTCACAAAATAACATTTCGGCAGCATACCAAGGCACTTAGAGACGCTACTCCAAAGCAAGACCATCTTAGTCCAGTTATCTAGGCAACATAGTTCTTATTTCATAGTTTGTGAAACAACAGTAAAGGCTGAAAGTGGCCTGTGGTTGAGGAGGACTCACAGCATATCTAATATGGGCAGGCTTGACCCGGGATCAGCTGCACACGGGTATACTGGTTTGCAGTGCAAGGAGGACTGGAACTTGACTGGCTGCCAGTGACCTCCAGTGGCTGCTCGGCACTCGGGGGTTGCGGACATGCAGATCTTCTGTAATGAACAACATCATGTTCTGCATTGGGGTTTGGTGATAGCCCAGGAAGTCGAGGCTATTTGATAAATGTACGATTATCCCCGGATAACACAGCAATGATTACAAAGCAATGTTTGGAGGAGGTCAGAAACGTGGTTTTAATTGTCCTTGGCGGAGTCCAGTCCAGCATACCCTCTTCTAGGATTCACTTGACAGACTCAAACATAAGGCCTAACTTTCTGTCCCTACTCACTGGGGTCTCAAGTAAAGGAAGAGACTAGGAGCCTCATTAATTTTTGAGTAGCTTAATTATCAAGAAATGGATAAGAATATGTAGACATGTCAAGTTTGGTTTTACAGGCATTACATGCTTAAAACAAAAAAGAACTTTTAAAATAAAATGTCCTACTCCAATATTTAGCCAAGCATGATGTGAATGCAGAGAGAGTTTGTTTGATCCTAGTGCTTTGATCAACTTCTCTATGCTTCAGACTAATGTCTTCAGTTTTAAAATGTTTAGATATAATAAATTAGTAATTTAAAAGTGTAATTAGATGTAGCTGTGGTTATTCATAAAAGTCTTTCGTGGCCATCTCTCTACATAAATCAAGTCTACAAGGAAATCTATTGGGCTTTGAGAGAGACAGGTTTTTCAAGGTTTTTCAACTTAGGAGCAAATTCAATTAAAAAAATTAATTTCCAACATCTGAAGCTTTCTAAGCCCAAGCAATCAGTGTGGGCATCTTACCTGTGCAGCCCTGCTCAGGCTCCTGCTCTGGTCTTTGCGAGCTGGGCAGTGGGCCATTAGGATACCGAGGTGCCAAGTGCGCTGCCTGTTGCTTTTCCAGTTTGGGAAGTGATTTGTAACAGTCCTTGGAGATGCGAGACGGAGACCACCAGGACCTGAAATCCACTGTGTATCCACAGAGCCACTGCAGCAAGGGACAGTGGCCTAGCAAGAAATACACCTCTGCCTTGACCAAGAGGAGTCCCTGGCCCAGCAAAGTGGCAGGTGATCAGTTGCTGAGACAACTACCAGGGTGCCTTTGGATGCTAGTTTTGGGGGTGGATGGGAGTCTTCTAGACACCGTCAGCCACCCTGAGTGTTGGATTGCTGTGCTGTATTTGGAAAGAAGCAGGATGATGCACTCATGTCTCTGTAAGTGCTTTCCAGTCCAATAGTGTTAGATTGATGTTGTAGCCATGAAGCCGTGATGAGCCAGGAATTGGGTCTAACTTTATCCCAACCATGCCGTTAGTCCAGTAAAAGGTATCACCCACAAAGATCCTTGCCTCTTCCAGTGCAAAAGTATCTTAGGGGAATGTCCATCAGAACCTACTTGGGAGGAACCTTTTTAAGTCAGCCGGCCCAAATAACTGGCACGTCTAGCCTGGTGTTAATCTTTAGTACACTTGGTAACCTGGGAAGATCGCAGAAGGGTGGAGGAGCTGATGTTGTGCCAATATTCAACAGGGGCAAATGGGCAACACGGGTAACTGCAGGATGCTTGGCCTGGTAGCTGTTCCAGGCACAGCACAGGAAAAGTGTATGTGGCATTCAGTTAATAATGAATTGAAGGACAGAAATAATGATTGATGCCAGTCAACATAAGCTTATAGAAAACAGTCTGGTCAAGCAACAGGTTTCATTTCTGGATGACATGCGTTGATAAAGGGAGTTGCTTAGACAGAACCTGCTGATGTGTGTGTAACAGGAGTGGCCAACCCCCTCGCCCCGCAGGAAGCTGGAGACCCTGGACTCGGGCAGGCAGGTTGCAGGAGGGTGATGGTGGTCTCCACCGCCTGGGTTGCAGAGGCGCACTAGCGCACTGGCTTCAGCAGCTGCTGCAACTTAACTGCTTGCCAGCCGCCAGTTGGACAGTCCTGGTACAGAGCATCTGACCTAGTGTCATGTAATACCCTGTTAAAAATGAACAGTGCCAGGCTCAAGAAAGCATATGCTGAATTGCTGAGGACCTGGAATCTGAGAGGAGTTGCTGGGGATCAGCATCGAATAAAGGCATTTGCAGTGGGGTCTGCAGGAAAGCGCTCTAGACTTGATGATAGTCAACACTTTCATCAGCGATCTCTGCTGCATGGGAGGTCGGACTATGATCTGACAGCTCCTTCTGGCCTTAAACTTGATGACTCTGTGATCTGATTTCATAGAACCGCCAGGCAGTTTTAACTGAGCCTCGACATTAATCACATCTCAGGTGTGCTGTGTGGGCTGCTCTGTGGGCAATCGGAGTAGCAGAGAGATTAACAGTCAGCCTATTTGGAGTCCATGTGGAGTCCCCTTCCATGATGAGCAGAACGTGTTTGCAGGCCGCTGTCCCCGAGCCCCTCCTGCCTCTTGCCTGCACAGCCCAGCAGTGAAGCTGAAGGTGAATCATGCCCTGGATGCAGGAAGACCTTCTTTGGCTAAGGCTCCAGTTCATATTGAAGTTCAGAATTTACATAACTAAAAGGCCATTTGTCTTCACTCCAGGACTGAGCGCCAGAACTGGGAATCACTCATCACTCCAGCCGGCTCTGTGGGAGCTGCAGGGCTGCTGGAAATCAGCCCCTTGATAAGAGTTGTATGTAGACTGTGGAGCAGCAACAGCATATCTGCAGCCATCTTCTGTTTTTACACAGCAGCAGGGGTTGCATGATGTATAGAAAATGAATAAAAATAACCCAGCTACTCTGTTTTACAAAATTAAGGGCAATTTGAAAAATTGTTTCTGGCTGTTATTAACCTTGAGAGATTACTTGCATTTCCAGGTGGTATCTTTCCATTAATTTAAAGCAATAACATCCTTTCCTCTCTATTAAATCCAGCTCTGACCAAAAGTTAGGGGGGGTTGTTCTAAAAACTGGTTAATTTTATATAACCTCTCTGTCCCTCCGTGTAATCTATAGCAACAGCACCACCAGAAGGCAGATCATTGTTTATCTTTTATCTCTAGAATACACTTTATTTCCTGTAAAGCAATACTGTGTATAGGTAGGTTGTACAGCAAACGTATGTAGCAAAGAAATATTTTACATGTAACATGTTTTCTGTGACTAAATTTTCCATCATTTGCAGCTTCATTAAAATGCCCATCTATTTTTGGCTTAAATGAGGTTCAGAAATCCTTCTGAACAGCAAAGATATATAGATCATATAGCTGAGCTGCAGTTGGAACAGATGAACAGATGTTCTTATACAACTATAAAAATGATATACTAAAAACTGTATTTTATAGCCAATGATAGTTTACTGAGAACTGAAATGTAATATCGCTGCTGTCAGGAGAAATTGTTGAAATATAAGTTATTTAGCAGCTGTTCTAAACTATGACAGCCCAAAAGGAATAAAATAGCTTTGGGTACAGTACATTACACAGCATAGCTGTCAACTGTAGATATATTAAAAAGTGCGTTTTACCTTGAAGGTGAATTCTAAAGCTTTATAAAATGTGAAAAATTAAAAGTTAATTGCACTCCCAATTAACATCAACATACATATTTAAAATTAAACCTTTTAAATGTTTGCAAAATGAAATTTTTACAGTGCATCTCATTTGAGCATTTTCTTTGAGATCAAGAGCTGCCGTGCTAGCCTTGCCGGTACCAAATGCTAAATTCTCTCTATGAAAGACATAGTAGAGTTATGTAATCTTATATAACATATAGGTACATGATACTTTAATATCACGCTCCACAGTGTACATATATGCTGTACAGTTCATATAAACGTATTATATGTGAGTGTTCATACTGTAACTGAAACTGTAGAACGAATATGCATGTCAGTCCAGAGGGAAGTCTTTTATTTAAATTTTACTGTTATGCACTTAGGGGCTGACTGCCCTTTTTGAATTTTAACCACAGAGGAAGACTACAAAAATCTAATATCAGATATTACAACCATCTCTTCCCATGTGTCATCTACTTGCCACATGACGAGAACATTTGCAAGGTGTTGTCTTACTGCTTTTTTCTCTGTCTTCCACAGCCTGTCAATCAAGGTCGTCACTACCAGAAAGAAATGAACCCACTTTCTCATTCCAACCCACGGTGAGATGCCATTTATAGCGCGGGCATGACAATTCGATTAGATGCTTCTGAATAGTAAGTGCAGCGTTCTGTGATTGAAACTTCACTCTCTTTCCTATTGTTACCTCTTCATGGAGCGTTCTGCTCCTGCTTTGGTCTTCAGTAACTTTCCACAAGACAGTTAGTCTGCATTGGCCCAGGATGCAAGGCAGAGCTCTGCTGCATGTAGCCGTCATCTAGTGTCACGTACGTATCAACGTAGGGCCTGTTCTGTGCTACGTGACTTGGGAGCCTGGCCCCCATCACACTGCCTCACCCATCAGGACTGGATTTCTTTGAGTATTTGTGCACGTCTCTCACAGTTGAGGAACCTGAATGGGGCGTGGGTTTAATACTACCCAGGAGGATGACACCCTCAGGATAGGAGGATTTTTATGTATGCTCGGGGGTCATGGCAGATGGGGCTTGTCTATGATGTGTACTAACTGCGCAGATTGGCAGTTGTTTCTGTTCCCCCATCAGCAGTAAGAGTCCCATTGGGACCTTTTTATTTTTGATTGGAGCTGAGAAAGAACCAGTTGTCCACCATCTGCATCTGTGTGACTGATCGCAGTTCTGTTGGCACTCCTCCTGTAAGCCTTAGCTGGGACTGGAGTGCAGTAACAGACCATTCTGCCCAGTTCTCACTATGTTCGGGTTTCTGTGTGTGCTTGGCTGCATTTTATACACAGAAACACACATAGATTTCATCTAATAAGCAATGGAGTTAACGTATTAAGCTAACACACTCTGAAAGGTGAGTCTTTTATCTGGCCCAGGGGTGCCAAAGGTGCAGCCTGCAGTGCTCGAGAGCTGACCCGCACTGCACGCGGCACCTGCTGGACCAGCCCCACGCACCAGGCCCCAGCCGTGTGCTGTACTCAGTGCCTGCTCTGCCTAGTCTGGAACCCGTGCTGCATGTGGTGTAGGTCCCAGAGCGGCTGGAGCAGGTTCTGTACACACTGGATCTGGCATGGCGGAGGGGAAGGGGGGCCTGTGGGCCTGATCTGACCTGCAGGGTCAGCCCTGTGCCACATATCCCACCCATGGACTGACCCAGCATCTCTTGTCCGGCCCATAGGACTTTGACACCCCAATGTAGTCCAGCCCCCTGCTCAAGGCAACGTCATCTCTGTCTGAACCATCGCAGACAGAGGCTTGTCTGACCTACACTTAAAATAAGCTTCAAACAAGAAGATTCCACGGCCTCTCTAGGCAACCTGTTTCTGTGCTTAAATCCCTTCATAGATAAAGTTCTTGTAAATATCTAACCTACATCTCTTTTTAGAAGTTAAGCCCATTACTTCTTGTTCTGTCCCTGTGAACACAGAAAACAATTGACTGCCCTCTTTTTTATAACAACCCCTCCTGTATTTGAAGAGTATTATCAAATTCCTCCTCAGTCTTCCCTTGTCTAGATTAAATAATTCCAGTCTTTCCTCATATATAGATCTCTTAATTATTGTTGTTACTATCCTCTGGACTCTTCTGCTTTGTCCATGCCCTAACTGAAACGTGCTGCCCAAAACTCGACACGGCATTTCAGGTACTGTCTCACCGGTTCAATGGAAAAATCACTCCAGTTAATTCTGGTGACTGCATATGACACTCCTGCTAATGCCTCCCAGTGTGCTGTTGTCTATTCAGCAGAAGTATTGCCCTGAAAACTCATGAGCCCCTGACAGACATTATACGTAGAATGTGATTAACCGGTTAATCGTGTCTTAAATAATAACCTGGCTGCACATTCATGCATATTTTGTGTAATAGCTGTGTGGCTGGTTCCCATCACACCTAAAACTATGTATGGCCAGGCATCAGCTGATCAGTGCCCCCAGGCTTATGAGCACATGGGAGCCCTTAAGTCAGCACTCCTGAGGGTGGGAGTGTGGATCCCCTGCCTGGCTTGCTACTTGCTGGTGCAAGGGGAGTGCAGGACCATGATCCCAGGCTCCGCCTGCACCAGCAGCTTGGTGCAAGGGAGATCTGATCCCTAACCACAGTTGCGCCGCCTGCCTTGTATGTGTAGCATGGGAGGAAGCACAATTGTTGGGGTCACACGTCAAATCCCATCGTGCCTTTAAGGCTAGGGGCAGAAGTTACACATAAACCAGTTCAAGTGATCAGAAACTGGTTTCAACCTGTAACAGAACAATAGTTCAGTGCACATAAACCAGCTTCAAAATGGCCAAAACTGGTTTAAGGTAAACCTGGTTGAATGTGGTATCAGACTTAACTGACTGAGGTCAAACTGGTTTATGGCACTTCTGTCCCAAACCCCTTCCTGGTTTAAGTTAAATCAGAGTCCCTCAGCATCCCAGCATGCTCTGCAGCCCTGGGCTGGGCTATGCTGTCTGCTCCAGAGATCAGGGCTGGCCCTGCTGCAGCAGTGAGGGCTGGCTGACAAGGGGTAGGGGTGGGAAACCTGGCTGGCGGTTTGGATGTGCATTGTGACTGTTCTGTCCTAAGTGCACCATTTTGCACTTATCCATGTTGAATTGCATCCTATATCTCAGACTGTTTTTCAAATTTATCGAGGCTATTTTAAATCCTAATCCTGTTCTCTAATGTGCTTGCTGCTCCACTCTGCTTGTGTGCCAGTGTATGAAGTGCACATTCATTTCCGTCTCCCAAGTCATTAGTGAACAGGACTGGACCCAGGGCAGCTCCCCGCTGAGCCACACTTGAAACCTTCTCCCTGTGTGACAGTGACCCATTGCCGACCACCTCTGAGCACAGATATCCAACCAGTAAGGCACTCGCCTTGCAGCCATTTCTTTGGCTTGTCACCTCACCAGAGAAGGAAATCAGGTTAGGCAGGCATGACAGGCTCTTGCTAAATCCATGGTATCTGCTCCTTACCACCTTGCTATCGTCTAGGTGCTTACAAACAGTTTGTTTGATGGTGTGCTCCAGTATCTTCCTAGGTATCAAAGTTAGACTGACCAGCTTGTAATTTCCTGAGCCTCCTTTTTTGAAAGATGGCACTACGCTTCCCCTTTTCCAGTCTTCTGGAAATCCAAGTTGCTACCGGCTTTGGCTGCTGTTTAATCTGCCAAACAGAATTGTGTTGAATTTTTTAGAAAATCATTTTTGAGAATCGAAGTATTTGTAAAAAGACTGACTTGTAACTGCCTCATAAATTCAGTAGCTCTTATGAACTGCCAGAAAGGCATTAGTAGGCTGTAAATATAGCTGATGATCAAATTATGAGGTCAGCTTACATCACGATATGAAAACTGGAGAAGAGGCAGTTATACATTAGCCGTTTATAGCTTGTGACTGGAATCAACAACATTTTTACACTTCACTTAAAATAGACAACTGAGAAATATTGTTCACAGGGGCAGGGGGCAGAAGCTGTAAGTAAAGGAACAGGGAGATCTCATTACTGGTGAGTCTAAAATAACTGGGAATCTGAACTCTGCCTAACTCTGCCTTAACATTACATTTAACAAATAGGATGATACCTTTCCGCTGCCCTCAGCTTGGAATGAATTCACCTTCCAAGTACAAGTCCTGGGAACTGCAACCCACCGTGCATCTAGCTGGTTACTGGTTTAGCTGTCTTATCCTCTTATCGTGAATACCAACCATAGTTTTCCCAGCCCCACAGTGCAGACACAGCAAGCACAGCAACGTCCAGATATCTTAATCCCAGTAAGACTGTGAGATTTAGGAGAGTTGTTAGTGCCCTGAAAGCCTAAAGGAAGTCATTGATCTCCCAAAAAGTGTAGTTAGGCCGTGGACGTGTGGCAAACCTACCGTGGGTTGTTGGGTCCTGCTGGTGTGACTGAGGCTCCAGTCGGAGGGCCCGTTCACTACACGGACCAGCCGGGGCTTGGATCTTCAGAGGTTTCATCGAGTCGTGCGGGGTTTGCAAGAGCCCCTCCATGCTTGTGTACAGTAAGTGTGTACAATCACCCATGTGATCAGAGACTTGCACGGCAAGCCATACGAGGAAAGGCTGAGGGACTTGGGTCTCCTCAGCCTAAAAAAGGGAAGGCTGAGAGGGGGCTTGGTAGCAGCTTACCGCTACATCAGAGGAGCGCATCAAGGGCTCAGCGAACAATTGTTCACCAGGGTGCCCTTGGGGAAAACCAGGAGTAATGGCCACAAACTCCTGGCAGCTTAGCACTAGGAAAAACTTCTTCACAGTCAGGGTGTCCTTCCAGAGGTGGTGCAGTCACCTACCCTGGAGATCTTCAAGAGGAGACCGGACGGTCACCTGACCCCAGCAGTCTTTCCTGCCTAGTGCAGGGGGCTGGACCCGATGCTCTTGCGAGGCCCCTTCCAGCCCCTCACATCTATGAATCTAACTGAAGTTGCAGATGCCTTGGCTGCACTCTTCCCCATTGCACGTCTGCTCTGACCTCATAGGTTGTGTTCATCTTGGCCTCTCTTTCTAAGGTTTAGAAATAAGAAAAGCCCCAAACTGAGCCAGTTTGGAGAGAAACCAGTCAAGTTATGAAGTGTGTACTAAATGCCCAAATGGAAAGGCTGAGGCAATCTACATCAGCATTTTGTCTAGATTTATATTTTACCTATAAAATGTGTCAGCTCTGTATTACAGTGTAAAGACTTGGTGACTTTGCCATTTGTGGGTGTGATATAAACTTTCTTGTATCTATAATTGCCTGATAAGGGCCTGCAGTCCTTGACAAATGATTAATAGCCATTGACCTCCCTTCACATTGGCACAGGATAGGCTGACTAAAGCAAGCTGTCTTGTCATTACAACCTCCATGTGTAGCATAGGACTGATCGGGTTGTCGTCATTTTTCTTTCCTCAACAGTCTTCAAATATTTTCATAAGTAAGCATGGGTGTTTTTACTCCTTTCCACTAGAAGCAGATAAATAACATAAAGATCAATAAATTACCAAAGGTTACATTTCACACAGGCGCCAGTTGTTTAATCTTATAACAAAGTTTTGTAGTTTTGGAATTGGTATCTGTCAAAAAAAATTTTTGTTGTATTAATTTGCAAATCAGAATTTTTTAAAAAGTTAATACCTTCAAAAGATTAGGAAGGAGTCATGTACCTTTTCCTAAAAATAGCAGAACTACAATCCATAATCATTACTTAATCCCAGCATGTGATTTTTCTAATTTTTGTTATCATATCTGTCTAATACTGGCTTGAGTAATGAATCACAAAAATGGATAAGCTACTTTGTATAACAGAATTCGTTTTTAGCTTTGTTTCAGCCTTCAGCATGGGAGTCTTTTGGTGAAAGGAATATATGAATTTTGGAATTGTAATTAATGGAACTTTTAAAGATTGGAAGAAGGCCACTGTGGTGCCTGTCTTCAAGAAAGGGAGGAAAGTGGATCCGGCAAATTACAGGCCCATCGGCCTGACTTCTATCCTGGGGAAGGTCTTAGAAAAGATTATCAAAGAGGCCATTCTTAACGGACTGGCCGATGGCAATAGCCTGAGGGATAGCCAGCATGGGTTTGTAGCAGGTAGGTCATGCTTGACCAATCTCATTTCCTTTTATGACCAGGTGACCTATCACCTAGACAAGGGGGAAGAGATTCATGTCGTATATCTTGACTTTAAAAAAGCCTTCGATCTGGTATCCCATGATCACCTCTTGGCTAAACTGGCTAACTGCAGCCTCAGGTCCACCATGATCCGCTGGCTGGGAAATTGGCCCTGTGGTCGGACCCAGAGGGTGGTGGTTGACAGGAGTCAATCGTCGCGGTGCGCTGTGACCAGTGGGGTCCCCCCAGGCTCTCTCCTTGGGCCTGTATTGTTCAACATCTTCATTAATGATGTGGACATTGGAGTCAGAAGCGGACTGGCCAAGTTCGCCGATGACACCAAGCTTTGGGGCAAAGCATCCACACCTGAGGCAGGAGGGCGATCCAGGCTGACCTGGACAGGCTCAGCAAATGGGCGGACGAGAACCTGATGGTGTTCAACACTGAAAAATGCCAGGTTCTCCACCTTGGGAGGAAAAACCTGCAGCATGCTTATAGGCTCAGCAGTGCTACGCTGGCTAGCGCTACGGAAGAAAGGGACTTGGGGGTCATCATTGACCACAAGATGAACATGAGCCTGCAATGTGATACTGCAGCTAGTAAAGCGATCAAAACACTGTCTTGCATCCATAGATGCTTCTCAAGCAAATCCCGGGATGTCATTCTCCCCCTGTACTCGGCCTTAGTGAGGCCGCAGCTGGAGTACTGTGTCCAGAGACCTTATGATGAGAGGCTGAGAGCCACGGGACTCTTCAGCCTGGAAAAGCGCAGGCTCAGGGGCGATCTGGGGGCCCCCTATAAGTTTATCGGGGTGACCAACAGGATCTGGGGGAACATCTGTTCACCAGAGCGCCCCAAGGGATGACGTGGTCAAACGGTTACATACTCCTCCAAGACCGTTTCAGGCTGGACATAAGGAAGAACTTCTTTCCTGTCCGAGCCCCCAAGGTCTGGAACAGCCTGCCACCGGAGGTGGTTCAAGCGCCCACATTGAACACCTTCAAGAGAAATTTGGATGTTTATCTTGCTGGGATCCTACGACCCCTGCTGACTTCCTGCCCCTGGGCGGGGGGCTGGACTCGATGATCTTCCGAGTCCCTTCCAGCCCAAATGTCCATGAAATCTATGAACAGAAAACACTTGCTGACTTGTACTTCTGTTCAAACCAAGGAGGCACCTCTGCTACCTGTTGAAGAAGTGTGGGTTAGGGGCTAAAGCACCTGGAGATCTAGGTTTCATTCCTGGTGTGCGCGTGTGTGTAGATAACTCATTTTAATTGAGGACCTAGGAAACAGACATAAAACTTAAGTCTCCGGGGCTGGTTAGTGAAATGGATTTAATATTCATAAGCTAGTCTGCCATCCTAAAAAAGAAGACACTTCTATGGCAAGCATTCATGTATTTATTTCAGTTACCTGACACTTCCGAAAACTGTATTACATATTGTCACGTATCACCTGCAGTTCTGATCATACAACCCCATTCAGGAGTTTATAACTTAGTATAAAAGTTAATTCTGGGTTTAACCATTTCCACGGTAAAGTAACTTGGAGGTGAATGAAGTCAGTCGATAAATATTCTGTTCTAGTGTCTAAAAGAAAGGGAGGAAATAAGAGAGGATAGTCTCTAACACATCTGTCAGTATATCTGTCAATTCCTCTTGTCCACCATTTGTGTTTAATGTACCTAAGCCGGCGTATGGTAGTTTCTCATTTTCTTTTACTAAAAGTTCCTGTCATGGAGTTCTCTTTTGAGTGCCTCATTTCTGAACACATCAGCGTTTGCCCCTATCACCCAGTCCGGGATCTACAAGGGCCACGTTTCCACAGGAAGGGTGCAGAGCTGCTATGCCTGAATTGCAGTTCAAGCACTCCTGTCCATCCCAGCCAGTTACAGCCACATAGACCTCTGCCTCACAGGCTCATGCTCTCAGATTGCACCTTTGGGAGATGCAGCAAAATTTAACTCCCTTGAAATTCAGTGCAGTAAAAAAGGATTTTCAATATCACATGTATTTGTACTCCAGCACATCTGCACCCTGTAGAAGTCATACAAAAAATGGTTCTCACCCACTTCTAAGCAAGGACTCGGTTGCAGAATACCTCAAGGTTAAAAACGCAAGCTAACAAATGAACTCAGCAAACAAAGCAGCACATTCATTTTTATGATTCATTACGAGAGCCAAGTCCTACAGCTTCATTACTTTTACAAAACAGACAACATTACATTATGAAGTATTATAAAACTACACTGCAGTTGTCACACGAAGGGAACAGGGATAATGCATCACAAAAGGCACGCTGCTCTTTCACGTTGCTTGTTCACTCATTTTACTCAGCCACAACGCACAGTCATTTGCCGTGGGTCATCTTGTCGTTAATCTGAATTAGAAAGGATCTGCTGCACTTGTCACAGAAAAGAAGTCGCACACAAGAGAAGTCGGTTATACAGAAAGCACCTTCTTGAAAACCGAGAAGTTTTGAGTGTGTTGGTCCAGCAGTTCTCGCACAAACCACGCGAGGGAGTCCTGGAGAAAAGTATGTGGCTTTCCATTGTCTGAGTCCGGGGACTTTCCTTTGCCCACTTCCTCCCCTGCTTTGGAAAGACTTGGGTACATCAGAGTTAGGCATCCCCAGCTGGACTATTTAAAATACCTTTCTTCTGCCCCCTCTTACGTGCCATGCCCATCCAAAATAACATCTCTACCTCAGAGAAATCCCTGGTGCCCCATTCATTGAAAAATATGTTTCAAAACCATCTACAGAGCTGAACTCTGACCTGCCCGTATTGGCACACGCCTTGTCCTTGATGATGGGCTGCACCCAGGATCCCTCGTGCCACTTCGGAAGTGTAGGGCTATTCCAGGCTGGACGTACTGCAAGACAGGCATCAACCGGAGCCCCCGCCGGGGCTGCCCATCCCTGCGCCAAGACTGGGCCGGCAGCTGGCACCCCAGGGCCCAACATGTAGAAAGTGTTCATGCATTTCGCTGTGGCACCGTCCAGATTGAAGCCCTTAGCAGGTGTGACCTCTTCCCTGCTCCTGCAGTATCTGCCTCCTCTCTCCCGGGCAGGCCCTCCCTGGGGTTGGGGTAACAGTTTCTCTGCGTCCCTCTATCACAACCCCAGTTCTTCAGCATTGTACCCGACATTTCACTCGTTCTCCCTTGCTGAAACCTCTTGACCAGTTTTCCCTCTCTCAGTTATTACTTAGCTCCATGAGGCAGTGGTGCGTCTATTTGGTCTCTCTGCGAGGCGATGTCACAGTAAAACACAGCTGTATTGTTCCAGTAACCGGCTACACTCTGAACAGCTGCTTTCTGTTACTTAGCCTTTCGTGTCGTGTGGCACCATAAGAGTGGAGGATGCTGTCGCTGCTCCCTGTCAGCACCGCGCCAGACCTGTGCCAGGTTGAGAGTACGGAGAGACCCGCACTTTCTGGGACGTGGTGAAGTCTGGGTATGTCTCTGGCGAGCTGTGACAGTGCTATTTACAGCTCGTGCACTCTTCGGCTACGTACAGATGTGGGGGAAAAACCAACAGTGCTTTACTTTCAGCTTGGCGCACCCAGAAGGGGACCTGCATCAGTTTGACCCGCCTTACCCAGCATCTGTGTAGCTCATGCACTTCCGCAGGGCTTTTTGGTACTCCTATCTAACAGCTGATTGAATCAGCATATTGATTCAGCTAGCTGGTTGAATCGGCTCTTACATAAAAGCGCCAAAAAGCCCTGCTGAAGCGCGTGAGCTATGCAGACACTGGGCGAGCCGAGTCAAACTGAAGTGATTTCTCTTCCAGTGAAGCACTGTTTTTGGGGGGTGTTTTCCACATCTGTCAGCACCCTTTCTTCATATATATCAGGCCAACGGTTTGCCGAAGCACAGGCCAGAGGTCTGCCTTCAGGACTTTTCAGAAACATGGCACAGCATGAAACCTCATGGCTGTCGTATGCAAAACCCCAAGAAGCAGGTGTCAGCAGCTTCCCATCCAACTCGGAGAGGGAATACTGTACAATGTATTAGTAAAACAAGCATGTAATGCACGTGGAAATGTTATCAGTAGCATTTGTTACACTACCAATAACTTTTCAACCAAAACCGCTAGGCAGTAAATCGACTGGTTTTCTTCATGCAGACGTCCAGTCTTTATCACCATTAAATATTTAAATTTAAATGCAAAGTTTCAACATGATCTGTATACCTCAGTACACACGCACGCATACATTCCTCTCCAGTCATGAATAAAGTATGTAGTATTCATTGTCTGGACTCTTCCGAGCACCAAGAAGGAGATGGCAGCATCTCGGTTCTTCTTCAAAGACTCCCGAATCCTGTCAGCGAGCAGCCAGAGCCAGGGTCTCACCGGATTCAGCCCCCAGGTCAATAGTTGACTTGTCCTCACTTACTGACAAAACAGTCATCCAAAGCATACAGAGATCAGGGGCCACATAGAAAATATCCATTCCTCTGATCTTTGAGAGCAGGAGCTTTACGGAGCACTCTCTTTTCCCAGTCAGCCCAGCCTAGTCAGGTACAAATGTACAAGCCTGAGCTCTGCTCCTGACTGAGACTTAATGCCAGGTTGAGCATTTAGGTGATAGTGAATTGTAAGTGTGTGGACTGTGTGGTCTCAGATGGGTAGCCTTCCCTGCTAGGACCATAGTGGAGTCCACCGTGGCCCCAGCATTGTCCTAGCGAAGGCCTTTCTACTCTAGTAAGAGAAGCTGGAACAGCAGGCGAGCAGTGCTGACCCTGGCACCCAGCCCTTTCAGTCCTTTGGTGGCTGGCCCCTGAGCCCACAGGACAGCCTTCCACTCCTCTGGTGGTAACCTCCCATGCCCCTGCACTGGGGCACAGCCCTCAGGGTGGCAGGCGGTGGCCTTCCAGGGACTTGTCCCGCTGCAAGTGTCTTGTGTCCTTTCAGAAAGAGGTCCTGAGCATGCGTGGTTGGCCTCGTCTCCCTCCAGATGTTCCTGGGCCTTGCCTTGCCTTGCCAGCACTCAGCACACATGTAGAGACGTGGCATATTCCCGCTGAAATCATTCGTCTCCTTCTCCCACTGCCTTCGGGCAGACAAAGGTCAGGGCTGCAGCATAAACCGCAGGGCTCTGGTTCCTTGTGGCACTCTGGCCAAAGTAGGACCGCTGTCACCCCTGCCGCCTCCATGGGGCTTGCAGGGGAAGTCGGGATGTTGAGATTCCCCGGAGACAGGCACTTGCTCGCTTCCTCCCCGGGCTGTGGAGCTCGCGAGTCTGGGCTGGGGGAAGAGCCGAGCGCCCAGAGAACGTGACGGGGTCAGGGCCGGGATGCCACATTGCCACTGCCTAATGGGATCGGTCAGTCCTTTGTCACCTACAAGTTTCACTCTCCTATCATTTTTAATTTTTCCGTACAGCTTGTGCAGCAGACAGAAGTAAGTTTAGGCTGGAAATTGGAAGAGGATTTCTAATAGTCAGAGGAAGGAGCCTGGAACAGCTCTCCAGAAGGAGCAGCAAGAGCAAAACACAGGAGAAAATGAAAACCCTGCTAGCTTTGAGGTGGAACCTAGTCGTTTCTTTGCCTGGGTGGATGGGCAGGCTGCGGCTGTGCGATACCAGGGACCTGGACCCCAGTGACCCAGCGGGGCCCTTCCAGCCCTGTGTCCCGTGTAAGTTATGCATCTGCTCTGCTACACAAGATAAAAGTGTTCTTTGCTCTTCGCAGTTCCTTTGCAAGATAGCCTGTTATTGGAAAAACTTGCTCCAGCTAAAGAAAACTAAATTGAAAAAGCATAGGTTTTTCTATGTGGCACTGAATAAGTTTACAGCATCTTGGAATAGGATTTATTATATCAAACCAAAGCAGACAAGCATAATGAACATACTCAAAAGCAGGCAGTGTCTAGCACGTGTTCATTTTAAAGTATTCCTCTCACAGCCTCAGGAAAGTAATGTTAGCACAACTTTTAGCTGCTTTGATAATATTCACATTATTTTTTGTGCCACAGGGTCATACCTGCCCACTGATTTTTAAAATCCCCTGGCCCCCTTGTCATCATAAGCAAAGGGAAGCAGTCTGTAGCACAGGGCAGGAGAATGCAACTCCATAGAGAAGGCAGATGATGTTAACTGCCCAGGACGAGTTAGCTGCCACCTTCAGGTGTTTTATGAATCGATGGAGCATTGACATGTAATTCCTACAAGCAGTGGTTTGCCTATGTTCAGCTTTTTAGTTATTAAAAAAATCCAACAACCTATTTGATATTTCAGAAAAGTGTGGGCATTTGAGTCAGCAGGTGATGAGAGAGAACTGATACACTTCACAATCATCCAGCTGACTCAGATTAAATGCAGTTATGCAGCACTTTTGCCAAGTAACAGTTTTCTTTGCAAATTCTGAGCTTCAGTTTATGCAGCGGATAAACAAATGAATCAAAGTGAGCAAAGAGGAGAGGCACAAGAGTTTTAGCTAAACGGAGAACCTAAAGCATTGTTTTTCTCCAGTGGCATAATTTGTATTGCCAACAAACAAGTGAGCATCACCTTTACAATCTAGGCAGTGCGGCAGCATCACAATGAAGTGGAGGTTTAGCGTGTCAGTATGATTGCCGTGTCCTGCGCACAGAAGTAGGAGGGATGCTGCATGCATTTACCCGAGGAAACCTGGCCATCAAAGCATTTGGCCTGTTCATTAGTAAATAATCATTAACCTGCAAAGTTAGGTCTGAGCCCTGCCATTTTCAAGCGGACAGAGATGAATGGACACGTACTTTTCTTTTTAACAAACTACTAGAATATAGCTATTCCCCTCTGGTGCTGAGAGGGAAGCCTGTTAGCTTTAATGGGCCGGGTCCGCCGTGGTGCCGGCAGCGCCGCCGCGCCGTTCTGTTGGAGGGCGGCAGGTCGACAGCGTCCGAGGCGCTGACTCAACGGGTGGAATTCGTCTCTGTTTTACTCTGTCTCATTTGACACCCAGAGAAAGCAAAGGAAAGATTTTGAATAGGAGGAGGGTCAGGTCAGGGGTCTGTGCACACCAGTGGTGATATCTTCCTTAATTATTAACAATTAAAAATTAAATCTTTGGGCTTCAAAAAAAGTGTCTTTGCTCTCGTTAGGAGTACGGCAGGGTTGGTTGGCTGCGCTTGCTGAAGCGGTGTGGAGCAGGGAAAGACGGGAGCAAGAGCTTGTAGCATTTTGTAAATAAGCCTGTGATTTTTCTAAGTCTCAGTGCTAGCAAAAAAAAGAAAGTTCCAGTAAGGCTTACAGTAAATGAAGATATTATGTATTAGGGATGGAATGAATCTGTCACTTTGACGGATTGTGAGGCAAAGAACAGATTAACAGATTACTCATAGTCAGAATGCAGCTCACTGTGAAAAATGTGCAGGAAATGATAAGTGTTGGTTTGTGCTGATTTAATGATATTTTAAAACTACAATAACACCCTAAGAGAGTAATATAATGTAGCTCATGCCTTGCATTTTTTAATCATCAACATATTGCTGGTTTGACCTTAACATAATTTTGATATTCCCTTTAAAATATAACATTCAAACTATACAAACTGATATTGCAATATGAAATACTTAGTCATACAGAGATAAATATTTTTCTATTTAAGCTTTCTATTAAAATTTGCACTTGAAAATCACTTTTTTCCTGATTTGTGTGTATAAGTTACTCGGTATTCTTGTAGGTAATGTATCTTATTATTCTTCAGCACATTCACCAAGTTTTCCATCAAAGAAATGTTTTCTGACCTGGAGCTGAGTAGAACTGAACAGTTATGTGAATTAGGACCTTATTTATGAACCGCTATTGAATTTTTCATGGTGTTCTGGCATTTATATAAGAGACTGTGGGAACGCACCAAGAGCAGAACTGTTGGAAGTGTTTTTCCAGCTGTGGCAATGGATGGCCTAAGATGTGGCAGTAGCTGGCTGCTGCATTGTTCTGGACGTCACTGTTGCTGGGAGCTGAAGTTTTCCTTCAGGGTTTTCTGCCCCCCTTGCAGAGCTGAGATGAAGTTACGTCCATAATACAAGCATCTTTTTGGATTCTTTGTTGTTAATGGACTTCAGGACTCCTAGATAGTCTGTCAAACGAGTACTACTGGCCTCGTTTTGTTGGGATAGTTGCCATAAAACAGATGATTTCTCCAGCTGCATGCCCATCATATATTACAAAGTAAAGCCCCAATCATCCCAACAGTTAGGTGTCCTCAACCTTATCCTTGGCAAGAGTTAGACTGAAGTCAGAAGGACGGCATGTGTGCATAGGGCTTAGTATTTGTGAGAGTAGAGCATGCGGTGCTGATTCGATAAGCATTGACCATGCAAAATCTCTACAGTTTTTAAGCAATGTTAGGTCACCTTGTATTGAACTGTATACGGTACTGAGTTAATCACTGGTAGGTTCTTGTAGATATAACGAATGCACAAGCCAGTAAAAAAAAATCTCGTTCTCCACCATACCTGAACTAAACACTGCAGGCTTCATTCGGCCACCCTAATTCTCAGTAATAAGTGCCTTTTAAATTAATGGGACGAGTCATGGAACAAGGTATTAGGTACTCGCTGCAACGATGGGTGGCAGAATTTTGGCCTGTTCGGTTCCAGATATATTTAATACAGCAGAATCATGGCACGGACCACGTTCTCTACTGCCACAGACAAGCGAGAGAGAAAACTAGCTCCTTTTCCCCCTCTAGAATGCTTTTCTAGCCTTGGCTCACAACCTGCCCTGCTTTGGCCTTACTTAAGTTTTTGGTGGCAGAAAGATTCAAAGTTGGCCGGCCCTTCCCTTCTGTTTGTAAACCACATGTCAACCCGTCCTCTTCTGTTGTTCATGAATCATAACAGAATCGTTATTCACTTACGTTTCAGTTTCCCCGTTGTTCACGACTCTGGTGTTCTCTCCAAGTACGCGCTGGTCATTGTGACTGGTTGTGTGATACCGACGATGCTCCCTCTGCTCCCTGACTGGCAAACTGCCTGTGGGCACAGAAGGATAGTCAACAGCAGATAATGAACAAAACACTTCCTAGACCATCGGGCATAAAACACGCATAAAAGTGTTCAGGTCAATATTTTTACAAAGTGATACGATTGCCCGAATACTCAAAGATCAAATACAATCCAAAAAGCAAGAGTAGAGCAAATGCACCGTCTTCAGTTACAAAGGTGGCTATAAATCTTTGACTAATTCTGGTTTCGTTTCCTCCCATTGTAAAATCAGTTTATCAAGCAAATTAAGAAAGATTTGAAGGATGGGCCCACACTGCTCTGGGATTTGTTATTGCTGTCGATAGGGCTGAGTCAGAATTGTCAGTGGAAAAGGCTTTGTTTCAGTATTAGTTAATACAGTACCAGCCAGGTTTCCTAAACACATTTCATGATAGGCACAATTTGCTGCAAAAAATAAGTTTCAGTATATATCAGTCACTTCCCAGACATGTAAAACAGATTTTTTTAAACCAAACAATGATGGCAGAAGAACTTGAGATGATAAGTAAAAGTGTTGAGACTTACTGTGCTGCACCCTGAGCAAGTTACAGATTCATTTAGCATTTCAGCGCCAAAGGGAGTGGTGAACCTAGCTTTGAATATGTAGGAAAACGACCCATTTTGGATCTTGCCACAGTGTGATGCAGGGGGTGGTCATTCCTTCAGGTATCCCGAGTCACGCCTACCCCGTTGCAAGAATGTCACAGACTGGGAACCGGTTCGCCTTTGTCCCTGGACAGAAGTGTCTGCGCGTGCACACCTAGGGGCTCGCTGGAGAAGTGTCACCTTTGAGGGCTGACACTACTCCCAAAACAGCACCAGGGGCTGGTTGAGCATCCAGACCATCAAGGCTTCCAGTGCTGGATTTTCCCCAGGATCCCACTCAAGGAGGAGGAAGACCCAGACTGTCTGGTTGCCAAGAAAAAGGAAGAGGTCATAGCCCACAGTTGCAGTTTCTGCTCCCCTTTCTCAAAAGAAAAAGAAAGAAGTTGGGTTGAGAAGCTGCAGAGATCTTGGAGGATCCAGAGCACCCTCCCCTGTGGCCACCTCAAGCAGAGGGCCACACAGCCCCCCACTCGCGCCCACCACAAATCAACCTGCAAACCCCAGAGCGCAGCGCTGGTGAGGCCCCAGCTGGAGTACTGCCCCCGGGTGTGGGCGCCGCACTTCAAGAAGGATGTGGAGAAGCTTGAAAGAGTCCAACGAAGGGTCGCACGTATGATTAGAGGTCTGGAAGACAGGCCGTGTGAGGAGAGGCTGAAGGACATGGGATTGTTCAGCCTGGAGGAGAGAAGACTTAGTGGGGACTTGGTGGCAGCCTATGAGTATATAAGAGGTATTATCAGGGCCTAAGAGGACATCTGTTCACCAGGGCACCCCAGGGGCAGGCAAGGACTAACGGACATAAACTGCTACAAGATCACTTCAGACTGGACATAAGGAAAAACTTCTTTATGGTTCATGTGTCCAGAGTGTGGAACAAACTCCCCCCGAGGTGGTACATCACCTACCCTGAAGATCCTCAAAAGACAACTGGACGCGCACCTTGGGGGTCATCCGACCCCAGCAGGCTTTTCTTTCCTGCCGAAGAGCAGTGGGGCTGGACCTGATGATCTCGTGAGGTCCCTTCCAGCCCCAACTTCTACGAATCTAAAATTGACAAGCCCCTTTCCAGTGCAAGGGCTGAAAAGCCCCTGGAGCAGCCAGCCACACAGGAACCATAAGCAGGGGCCATGTGCCTCCGCTCCCAGCACCCGGCAACCCTTTCACTCCCACCACCCACCCCAAACAAGGCTGGGATGCCGCCACCCAGTGTCCGAGGCAGGGAAGGCAAGCTGAGAACGAAAGCTTTGCTTCCCTAGTCATGCCGGCTGTGGTCTGTTGTTGGCACGGCCGAGTCCTGGCTGCTCCAGGGCAGCCCCTCGCCCTCCATGCGTTTGGGAGGGGAAAGGGAGGTGAGGAGCAGCGCAGGCTGGCATACCTGGACGAGTGCCCAGACGCTGGGTGTGAAATGCTGCCTGTCCCCACGTAACGCTGAACCAGCTTGCAGGGTAGTGGATTTTCCTGGTGTGCTCTGGAGACAGCCCAGGAAGCTTGACCTGCACCCCAAGACTCTCGGGGTTAGACGTGTATGCGGGGCGCTGTAAACGTTGCGTCTGTCCGCACCCTCAATGTCAAACGCTGCGCTGCTTAGCATTCCACTTTGCTCTCAGGAAAGCCGTGGCTGGGGCTTTGCATGTTGATTGTATTGATTACAGCTTGAGGCCCTGATAGCATAAACAGAGAGTGTGTCTAATTAATCACAAGGCTTGATTAGTTTTTCTGTATTGAGGAGATAAACTGGCTTCTTGGAAAAGTTCACCCCCAGAAGAGTCTTTCTTCAGTCACTGCAGAAGGAAGGGTAAATTGGACACGCAGTCCACAGTCCACACTGCTCAGCAGGCCAGCCCCCACTCCTCTTCATGCGGGGCTCTATTTTCATCTAAAAGATCCCAGAACAGGGTTTTATGAGAAGTGTAACTCGCTCATGCTGTCTCACGAAGGAAGCACATATGCCATTTGAGATGCTTCCTTGAAAGCCGAGCCTCCAGAGGCTGCAAATTTCATGTGTGTCTAACGCCTGTCTTGGCTGCTAGAGGAAAGCATCTGTCAGCATTTCCATTATAAACCCACTTCTCAGAGGTTTATCAGTCAACTGCAAATCTTTCTCTCTGTTGAAACTTGGCAGACAGTGTTTCTGCACAGGTTAAGATTTGTGTTTTGGAAAAGGTTGGTGTGGTCACTTTACTGTCCGCACGTGGCTGCACTGTTGCTGGACAGGTTTTCATCATGCACTTCACTAAAAGGCTTTAACTTTAGCCATAACATTTGGTCAGCAATGAGTCCATAATATTGAATTGCAATTAAGTTAAGCGTAAACTAACGAGGATTAAATCCTGGCCCCACAGTAGGACAAAGACTCGAGGACTTTGGCTGGATGCAGCAAAGCAGAAGTCTAAATACCAGCAGCTGACGCGATTTTAAACGTGACCTCGCTTTGCCCAACTGGTACTCTTCGAAACGAGGGCCGCTCAGAGCCAAGCGGACAGAGGCTCTGCTCAGAGCACGCGCGTGTGCAGGGGCTGAGCGATAGCACGGCCTAGCTGTGGTGCTGGTCCTCCTGCAGCGAAGGCGTACACAAGAGCATTTTAAACATCCCGTTCTGCAAATGCCGAAGTGATGGGAAGTTTGCTAAGTAGCTTTCTCTGGATGCCTGAAGGATTTGCCGAATTTCTACGCCAGCTGTTCTGCTTCCCAAGGAAGGCAGAGACTCGTTTTCCATGTTGGCTGCAAAAGAGCAGGTGCGTGTCCTCCAGACTGTGTGTACACACCAGCAGCAGATGATGTGGGAGCAATAGCATGTGCTCCAGCAGCAGAACAGCAACAGACAGAAGGAAAGCGCAAGGCCTGTTGTAGCAGCCACGCCGCCTGACTCAGCTCTGCCAGGCTCCCGTCAGGGAAGAGCCCTCCAGTGCGCGCGTGAGGTCAGCGTGCCTTCGCAGAAATCCCAGCAAGCACCAGTGCTCTCTTACCCTGGCCTGGATCATGGCCCAGCCTGGCAGCATGAAGCAGTGAAAAGTCAGTCAGTTCAGCCAGCTTTGAGGATTAGAGAAGTCCTGGTGTGATAGAAAGCCGCGCTGACTGCTCTCACACCTTCTACTTCTGGCCCGTGGCTCAGGGATGTGACCAGGCTGTCCTCGTTTCCAGGTGCTGAAACGGCCGTGGAACTGCTGTTTCGTGCCACGGATCTGTCCAGGTCCCTGCCAGCCGCAGCATCGGGCAAGCATAAAGCACTGGGTTACAGTCCCTTTCCATGGTTTTGCACTGAGCACAGCCTGGGCCGACCTAAGAGAAGACGTCTCTGAATGTACGAGCGTGCAGGTACTATGATTTGCGCTGCAGCGCAGTCGAGGGACTTCACGGTGTGAAGTACTGACGTGGCACACAACGAAAGGATCGTTTGGACCCTGCCGAGGTTAGGATCTAACCCACTGATTCTGAACCAGGGCGGGCGGCAGATCCTTTCAAGGGTGCCATGCAGTGATTCACAGGATAAACCCAGAGATTTGCAGTAGGAATCCGTCGGGTTAAAAGCACCTGGACCTGCTGTGGTCTTCTGAGTTCTCTGCAACAGGATAATTGCTCTGGTATTTTTGTGCGATCAAAAACAAGTGAAAACTAAGAGCTGGCAGCCCCGGGGGGTGCCTCGAGCCTATCCAGGGATGCTTTGAGTCTAAAAAGGTTGAAAACCACTTGTCTAACTATTGTGCAGTTTTCCCTCGTGCTTCAGGGCAGTCTCGTGGACACTGAGATATGAAGCTTGCATTGCTTTTGTATTCGGGGGGGACATGGTTTGCATTACCACTGTCCTTGGTGGAGCGGTTTCTCCATCTTCCTTCCCTTCCCCTCATCACATCACATTCATTTGCTGTGTCCTGGAAATGATGTGGAAAGTGGGGGGAAGGAGTCCTCCCTGAAGTTTTATTGTTGGAAGAGACTCTCTGGGCCGAGTCCTTTTCCACCTCTGTTGTCCCCGTGTCTTACGTGCGATGCTGTTTCATCCTGCCAGAGTCCTGAAGAACCGTTTGCACGTCTGCTTTTAATGGGCGGTCCGCTTACGATTAAGTGAGGAGGAGAAGGGAGTTCTACCCGGGTTCTGTGTCAGTGGGTTTTCAGGGACTCGGGGAGGCAGACTTGGGCCGTGGGTGGAAGGCTAGATGCCCAAGAGGTGGAATAGGATCTGGCCAGAGGAAGGGGAGGATGGGCAGGGCAGGGGGACCTGGTTTCCCAAAGTGCTGAGCCCCCACAAATACCACAGGTAACTGGGAGAGGCTCAGCACCATTGAAAGTTGAGTTGAAATGCATGTGTGCAAGTTTACTTTTTCTAGCAGGCTGTTTTGTAGTCTAACGTAAACCTGAACTTTGTTGCCATCCAGGCTATTTCAGGCTGCTGTAATTAGGGAAACTAAATAAAATGTTATCAGAAAATTCCACATTAGCATGAAAGTCCCTGACAAACCTTTGTAGATTTCTTTTAATGTATTGGGATGAAATTCTAGTGCATATCATGCTAATTGTGCTTATTTTATTATCAGGTTTGATTTGATAGCTGCCATTAGCAGACGAATCTATAGCAAAATACACTGTACATCAAAAGAACCATTTTAAAGCAAAAACGTTTGTGGGGTTTGGGTCAGATATTTTTAGTTATTATCAAATGCATTATTTTCTTGAAAGAAAATGTTGTGAGCTCCAGCGCTGGCTGAAGAGAAGCATGTAGACGTCTATGTGGGAAAGGCTGCTTCTTGTAGTGCATTTACCCAGGAAAGTTCAGCTCATAAGCAGCCTCTGGCTTTCAGTAAGCTCCTGCCGTTACCCAAAGTTACCAGATCAGAAATCAGAAAGCTTAGTATTCCTCATCCTTCGCCCTGAGCACACAAAATGTGACGCTGCCTCTTACTGAAACATGAGAGATTAAACTGTTTCATCAGCATTGGATTTCTCCCCAGCTGGGCCAGACTGAATGGTGAAATGTTGGTGCTTCTGTGTCGTTCTGTTACTGGTGCCGTGTCCACGTAGGAGCGCTTGACTGACACTGGAGCCCAGTGCGGACACTGCTGCCTTTTGCAGGAGTGCAGTACAGCCCCGACGCCACCTGCAAAACGGGCTCTCCTGGCAAGAGCGCAGTGTCATTGTCCCCTTTGGAGCCCCGAGTGCCACCACGGTGCTGCCAGCCTAGCGCAGACCTGGCCGGAGGTACTGGCCTTCAGCTTGAGCAGAGCAGGAAGTGCTACCAAGAGAGCCCTAACGATTAACTTCCTGCTCTGCTCAAGCTGAAGGTCCATGTTAGCAAACACGCAGCGTATAGTTTGCCCCCATTTTACACCCTGGCTTCATTCTCTTCTTATGAAACGGTTTGAAACAAATTGAGAAACTGGAGGGGAGCAGAGGGCTTTGTTCGAATGACTGACATTTGGATTCCTGTTTTTCAGAGACTGGCTAAACGTGTTCAGCCCGCCCATCATCCCGCCGAGCCAGCAGCTAGCTGGGCACACCAACCCGCCTGCAAGTCTAGGCGCTCCAGGTAGGAATTTCTAAAGCGCAGGTGACTCGGGGTAGCCCTGCAGTCTGTGACCGGGGGAGAGCTCTCTAGAAGCCTGTCGTCATACAGCAGCGTGGGGTTTGCCCTCACTAGAAATGCCCCGTGCTGGGTTTGGAGGGGTAGCGAGAGCCCACGGGGGGGTACACACCGTTTACTTGAGCAGTTATTCCCACCCAGAACCGCTCCACCTACTTGAAAGGTCTTGGGCTGAAACTCATTCAAAAGGGACCGCTTGCAAGTCCGCATCAGTCAGGAGTGTGGGTCAAACCCGACACGGAAGCTCGGCATTACTCGTGAGCACCGGTAAAGGCCATTGAGTCACCACCTTAATCAGGTGCCAGCACCCAGGATGTCAAGTCTGAGAGCCGTCAAAAATGGAACGGAAGCAAATACCGCCCCGCAAAGGTCCTTTTCCCTTATCTGCTGCCCTAGGGAGTAAAGCAGGTTCCTGCATTTTTCTTCAGGTGCAGAGAATTTCTTGTGAGAGCTCATAAATCTCAGCTGTGTATTTGGGCCGCCCAAGGGATGAAGATGTCTCAGTGATTTACTGTCTGAACTAGATTATGCCCCTCAAATTGGGAATGCTTTCAGAGGGGTACATTTGTAATTGCTTATGACAGCAGAATAGGACTTTGCTGTCAAGAGAGGACCTTGTTTTGAAGAATCGAATAATACGTTATGTTAAGCGTCCTAAGTAAGGCTAAGAGAATGGGACAGTAATCCTTGAGTTAAAGGCACGCTGAACACACATTTCCGATAGGTGCTGGAGAAGGTTCTTGGAGCTAGTATTGTGGAACACAATTTACTGCGGACATCCAGCATTTCCATAAGGTTAAGCACTGAATAAGCCTGCTAAATCGCGGCTTTCTCCCATTCAAGCAAGACTCTGATCAGCATAATCTGCGATGCGGTCATAAACTAATTTGGCGTTGGTGGTGAACTCTTTTATGAGACACATTGATAGTATCACTGTAGGAAACGGAGGACCCCTGTTCGCTGTAGCAACCGTGGCTTTTTTGTTTTCCTCTTTCCAGGGGGGGGACCCTAAATTCTGGCTGAAGTTGTACCTGTCGCCTCATTGAGGCAGCTCAAATAATCCCCTTCCAAGCATGCTGGCAGCCACATGTGCCTGCTGAGCTCACTGGGCAGCATGAGTCCCTTCGCCATGGGAGCTGGAATATGCAAGGGAGAGTGACCGAGCAGCCCCATGACTCGCGCTGCTCAGACAGGGACACCGCTGGGCTGCCTGTCCTCCCTGTAAGAGGGCGATGGTCAGCTCAGCGGCCCTGCATGGAGGAGTGGACGCAGGTGCCCTGGAGAGCTCGCTGGGAAAGGAAGGAGTTCTTGGACCAACTTTGTCCCAGCTCCACTGAGCCCCAGCCGTTCACCTGCAGACCTAGGGATGTGGTGACGCAGGCAAGACCGACCGTCTGTGTGTTTTAGTCAAACACAAGTTGTTGGGTGCGGTGAAATTTAAGAGCCTGTGATAAGTGGCATTAAACTAGGCAACCTAGCCTGGTTTCCTGTAAAACACACGTGCTGCAGAACGCCCGCACTAACCTCAACTCTGGGAACCTTGACACAGAGCCTTGCGCAGCCAAATTAGGGATTTGACCTGGAAGTAGCAACTGGGTACCTGGCTGTACTTCTTGTAGAACATCTTTCATGCAGAAAGGTCTTATTTTGTTAGAAACCCATGTTAGACAGCGCATGCCATGAGCTGCTCTCTTCAATCCGTTATTTCCAGTCAGCACCTAGGCCACCGCAGAAGTGCTCACAGTGCGCGGCCTGCCAGATCCCAACAAAAGCCAGGCATTCTGCTAAATGCCTGGTCGCAAGGACATGGGAAAGGAAAGGAAAGGTCAAAAGAGCCCGTGGCAAAAGCCCGGTGCGTTGGTACTTCGTTCAGAAACAGAATCACTGCAGGAGCTGGAGGAATCCCTGCTTCTCCGGCTGCATTTTGCTCCTGATGTCACATTAGAAATTTAGTTCTGCTATACAGGCACTCCTCACTTAACGACCGAGTTCCGTTCCTGCAACTAGGTCATTAAGCGAATTGGTTGATAAGCAAGGAGCCGCCCCTTGATACCGCGTGCCTTGGCTTGAGACGCCGCGCTGCCGTTTCAAAGACCAAAGTGCTCGCACTTACGACCAGTTCTCGCTGGTCGGTCGTTAAACAGGTAGGTCGTTAAGTGAGGAGTACCTGTATTTGGAAGCTATACAAATAGCAACTGCCAGACTTCAATAACTTCTGGCTCTTAAATCACGAGCGCTCAGGTGCCACAAGATAACACAATCATATTATCAGTAATGAAAACCTTTAATTATGTATAACCCTCAGAAAATATCCTTGTCGTTTTAACCTTATCTCAAAAGAAAATGGTGCATATAATTTTATTGCTCCTGCTAATAAAAGATTTGGAAGATATCATTTATTTTGGGCTTTGCTCAGGGAAATGTAGAAGTGCACATTTTCCAGGACTACCATTGCACTTGAGCTTTCAGTTTCTTTCTTCACATTTGTTTCTTTAGAAAAGTAGTTTTCCGTTAGGCAATGCAAAGTAGACTTGTGAGTCAGAAGTGTTGCACTGAGGTCACCGAGAGCAAAATTTGGGACAGTGTATTGGATAACTTCTAAAATAGTTTATCTCCTTTGGGTATTGATGTTTCACATGCATTATCTCCCTCTTTCTCTCTCTCCCTCTCTCTCAAACTCTTTGGAATTGGCCCGTTTTTGTATCATTACTACTTGTCTTAACTGCTTATAAGACAGGACTCTTCAGGACTGTGAAGCTAGAGAGTTTTTTCCTTAGGCTACCAGTATTGACAGTCTTTATATGCTAACTTTGGAGCACATAATCACAGTATCGATTTTGAGCACCTTGGTTCAATGTTCAAGGGTCAGATTGGAGAAAATATTAATGATGTTCTTTTGAATTTGCATCTCCACTGACACTGATTGCCTCGGAGAACTGGCCCCTGCTTCCAGGTCAGATATGACCCAGACCCCCTGTATTGATCCCTTGGCCGTGAGCAGTGTTCAGGCACTAAACTCTGGGACACAGCGGATACGTCGGGGGATGTGTTTATACCCGTGCACTAACGCACTGACAAATGCCAGTACATCTCCTTTTTGGTGCTCAGCATTTCTGCTGATTAAATTGAGACAGTTTCCTCCTGACTACGTTATTAACACTACTCAGAGAACCAAAACTGAAATGAAAAGGTATGTGTTTCGTTCTCTGGGCATCTGACACACTAGCCGTTCTTCCTCCTTTCCTGGCCTCCAGATAATGTACCCTGTATTTCCTTGTGTGATCCCAGCTGTAAATAGATGGAGGGCTGGGAAACTGCTGCTGTTAGCATAACAGGCCATTACTTATTATGAGGTAGCAGAGCATACACGCCACTTGGGTTTGTATTAGTGCTCTGAGAAAGAGATAAACATTTATGATGAAATGCAAGATACAGATTGCATTCAACTGTGAATTATTTCCTATCAAAAAGTTATACATTGTATAACTTACGTTGAGCTTGTATAAAAGACAGGATTGAAAAAAGAGCTTGGCAGTATGAGGCGCCTGTAGTACATATCCATCTTCAGCTCTAGCAGTATACTTGTGCTAGAGGCTAAGAATTAGTTTCTGTACCCAAGAAACATTCTCGCAGTTTACATAATGCTCAAAACACTACATTTAAAATGATTTATTAGCTGACAGCATCTAATTTCCGCGTTGGTGCAGCACACCCTCCTATATCCCTTACCTATAATGTCTGTTTGGCTGGAAATCTGACCCGCTGGCATTAAAATCTTGTACACCAGGATTAATTTGCAAACTGGCTTTCAGGAAATAGAAATATTGCATTGTCTGAAAGCAGCAGAAATCGTGTATGAAGCAGGAATTCCTCTGTGCCTAGCATTTCAATATTTACTTACAGCAGACCTGCGGTGGGCTGGTTGCCTTGCTGCCACCTTTGCTGCCCTGAAAGAAGTCCTTGATGACACACACTAATAAGCACAAGTTTTTCTTCAGTGTTTCTAACTTGGAAAGACTGGAGACCCAGGAAGGATGTGGCGAGCATCCACTCGCCTTTTAAACTGCGTTTTGTCCCTCACGAATCTTTTTTAGCATTGCTAGGCTCAGAACTGACATGGTTTCCTTTCAGGGGCACGAAGAGTTGCTAGGGGCTCCCGTACGGCGTCTGATTCTGTTCTCTCGTAGAGATGTGGGTCCCTCTTGCAGCCGAATGGAGTCCAAAGATCTCCAGATTTGCCCTGAAGCCTTGCTTTTGGGTTTCAGGGGCTCGCACTGATACCATCTTGCCACCGTGACCAAAATGTGATGAAACTATAATATCTTTAAGCAATTGCTGCCATGATATCAAGACACTAGGAAGTCATTATAGTTCCATGTGTAGAAGCCAATTTTCAATTACATTTCTTGAATGTTTTACAATCTGTTGTATATTTTTAGTTGCTACACTGCCTCACTGTACTTAAGGACGACTTACAAAATCATGGATTTGTTTAAAATGTAAGCCATTTCTGGTTTCGAGTCAGCAGACTGCATGTGGCGCAGGATCTAAACGATTATTTATGGTGCTCTATAAGTAAAATATTTACCAGAATAATACCTGTCTGCTTACCAGCCCTGTCACATTTGGGCTAAGTCTGTTCACCAATTTTCAGCGGGATCCAGCATGAAAAGGGCTCAGAGTTAGAGGAGAAACACCAGTGTGAACTCTTCTATCGCAGCAATATTGGCATGGCTGTAAGTGTTAGATTTTGATGCAGATTTTGATGCAGAATTTCCTCACCCAATTCTCTAAAGCCAGTCAGTGAAACAGAAGTAGTTAAGCATCTTCCATATATGTAGTACATTTGTAATGTATAATAATAGAAAACCTATAAAACCTCAATGAAAAGTTAGCAAGCTTGAAAGTAAATGATGTGAGACCAGCACAGCAAGGCTGAACTCTTTGGATCAAGGCCTTTTGTTTTATGTTTGATTTTCTGATTCTTCCACCTGGAACATTTTGATAGTGTGCAGTTTCATTCTTACAGCTTTTAAAAGGCAATTGACTGCATTTTTATGTGCATGCAAAATACGTTATTATTTAAGCAACTGATTGGGAAAGATCTCCATTAGGAGTACTTTGACCAGGTATCAACAGGATTATTTTTTGGTTAGTTCTAGTAGATGATTCCAGCAAGTGTGGTGTTATGCAGTGTTTGGACAAGCCCTGAATGATGTATCTTAGACTTTGAATGAAAGCATAAATTCACACGGACTTGGAGGGTAACCATTTGAAGGGTTTGCACAGAAGTCAGAAGAATGACACCTTTGGGGAGCGTCACATGTGACAGATAGATAGGCGTCTCCTTGGCACTTTGTGAGCAACGGAGCAGTAATTTACTCTCTTTTTCCCCCTTCACACAGGTGAAGATGACTTCAGTGCTGAAGATGATGAGGAAGTCTTGACTCTTCAATACGATCCATGTCTGAACTGTTATTTTGATCCAAAAACTGGGAAATACTATGAACTGGCGTAGCCAGGGTGCACTACGGAGGGCGTTCCTCTGTTGAAAGAGACTTGCATGTTCAGTTCTCTGTGAAGTACTGACCACATCTAACATTTTTGTGTCATTTCAGCATTTGAATTGACAAGCAGTTTGCAAACGGAGCGTATTGTTTTGTGACTACTACCCTATTGTTGTAGTTTTGTACTCAGTTATGTTGCAGTGAGCAATCACATAACGCACCAGCTCCTGGGGCTCCGACACTGCCTCTGATGCTGGTTTATTTTATATTTGGTATTAAGGACTGTATGTGAATAAATTCCATTTTTGCAGCATTGGTCTGTAAATTATGGCTTGATACAAACAAACTATATTTTTTCACTCCTTGTTTAATGGATATTTGTTTTAATCGATTCCCTAGCATCTGATCTTTATTCTTCAAGAAATACAGCGTGATGCTCCAAGACGTGCTCTGCGAGTGCTCTCTCCTTCCTCGTCAAAAAAGGCAAGATTTTCCTTCCTCTGCAAGAAAGTTTCTCTACTAAGTAAATGCTGTTACCATATATATCAGTGCTTCTGAGAGACCTTAACCACCTAGTTGGGGGTAGTCCTGCTTTGAGCGGGGGGCTGGACCAGAGCTCCCGATGGCGCGGTGATCCTTGGTGTTGGTGCCGACAGTTTCATAGAAAACGGGATCTTGAGAAGTGAAAGCAGCCGTGCGCAGCGTTCGCGGGTCGGATGTACTCAGGCTGCGCGCTCACGCACAGGTATTTTAATTGCTGGGTCCCAGTAAAAGGCAGTCTCTGACTGGACCCATTTTTATGTTCTTGTATCACTTCGTGATCAAGTCAAGCCGAGGGGGAAATAGCCCATACCTTTTCCTCTTGTAGATGCCGTCCTCCTGTTCATCAGAAAGAAGCCTGTTGTTGTAGGGGATTTGTCCATGGTTCACATGCTCCTAAATCAAGGCAAACATCTGAAGCATAGTAAAATATTGGAAGGCAGGTGACTGCCGATGTTTTGTGCAAAGCACCTTTGACGCTTGACTCGGGCCAGATCCTGGCCACCCCGCGCTTGCAGATCGACGTGGGCTCTGCCAGCAGAATCGCGTGCACTGTAACCTTACAGGATTAGCTTGCCCTTCGGTACCTGGGTAGCTTTGTTATTCAAGCCCATCTTGAAGGCATCTCAAGAACATCGAGCATCTGGGGGAGAGGCATTTTACAAGTTCATTTCTTCAAATGTAATGAGGAAGCCCCTTTTAAAATTGTCAAGCTTCCTTCCGAGTGAGTCCCCTTGCAGGTGTTACGGTTTTGGCTAAAGAGCACAGATTCTGGTAATTAGCATTTATTCAAGAGCAAACCCTGAGCTGCTCACAAAGCCTTTATTCAGGCAAGGCAGCTTAGGTGGCCTTTAGTTTCGCCTGAGTGAGGAACGCAAGATTCGGCGCTCACCGCGCTAGCCGTTCCCGTCTTAAAACGTCTCCAAGCATTTGAGACTGTGTTTGACAGAGTAGACACACCTGTCTGCTGCCACTTTCAAACAAGATGAGTACAGATGCAGCAGTTAGACCTGAGCTGTCATTCAGATGCCAGGACAGGGCCTCGCGTGAGCACTGCCTGGTTACTGCACTCCTCGGGTCACCCGGCAGAAGACATGAAAGATGTCAGACCCTGGCCAGGCCTTTATCAGGGCATCCTTCAACTGGTGCTTTCAGCAGTGCATTCGTGGCTTAACTTTGCCTTACTCCTTTTTCCTGGGGAGCCTTCTAGACAATGTTAAACAAGACGACAGACATACTGGTATGTGAACAAACCTTTTTTCCCCGCTAAAAAAAGCACAGGTTTGGAGAGACAGAAATTGGAGCTCGTTTAATGGTGCACCTCTGGGTGCCACATTATTCAAATAACTTCATACTTCTCCAGAAAAGGTTAAAGGGAATGTGTTACTCACAGGAAAAGTGAGCTACAGGCATTTCTACTGACACTGTCCTAACCCTCTGCTTATTATACACAGCGCTCTGCCACAGCAGTTATCTGCGGGATGATGGCTCTGAATTTCTGTTCAGAATAATGCGTTCAAATGTCACAGAATTAGTCCAGGTGATAACTGGCAAGCGGTTTAAAATGATAGGTCTCTGAATTGTTTGTAATTATGGCTCCCAGTTAATGCATATTCTGGAATCAAGTGAAAAATGTGTTTGCTAATAGCAGTTTGGCATAAGATCAGATTGTGCTTCCTCGTGCAGTTGGCTTCCTTGGCAGACACGTGCGTCCCCCGCACGCTGTTGTGATCGTGGGTGCCAGTGGTATCCGCACGCTGCACTTACAGACCTCGTGCACTGCCGGGCAGACACTTTCCCTTTTCGTGCTAGTCCCATGGCCAATTCAAAAGGTTGCTTGACATGATAGTTTGCCCTTTAAGGCTCATCTCCTACGCTATGAAAAATCAGGCCGATCCACAATGTGCTGTCGTGGTTTTTGGAACTGGACAGTTTCTATTCCCCGTTACTGCCCCGGGTCTCCCCATCTCAGAGGTGCGGTCTGCTGTTGCAGGGCAGCGCTGAGTCCACACTGCCTCCTGGTTCCTGGGTGTCTTTGAACGGTGACTTCCTTGGACAAAAGCAGTTGGTTGCACAAACGTGTTGGGAGAGTCGAAATCTCCAGAGGACCAGCAGATAGACCGGTCTTGTACCATGCGTCTCTGCCTGGGGGAAACGCTGATGCGCTGATAGGGCTTTTCGAACTGCCTCTTGGGAACGATGGTGACTCTAGCACGAGTCCTCACCTGGGCGGAAAAATTAAAGTTCTTTATTTCAGCTTGTATAAATAGCAACAGCTCCTTCCCCACGTCCCTGTCAAACTGGTTGTGAAGTAGAAAGCCACAATTATCGAGCATTTGGATCACCTGAAGTGTTTGAAATACCCCTTTGAAAAGAGATGCTATTTCCCAGCGACAGGCTGCAGCACGGGAGAGCTCTGCGCGGGGTTTCCATCGCTTGCCAACGCTGCTCCTTTGTGTAGTAACGCTTCTCCGAGTCGGGAGCCTGCATCTTCGAAACGGAGCGTGCCGTGGTTTTCTCCTTTTCCCTTCCTTGTTCAGCAGCAAGTCCTCTGCCCCGCCATGTTGTTTCAATAGGCATTTATTTTAAATCAAACCATCTCGCTTTCACAACTGAAAAACACAGGCATTACTGAGTAGCAGGGAGGTCTCTTGGGATCATTAATTTAGGCTGATCGCCTTTATGAAGAGCCTCATGTCTTTGACATCTTAGGTCCGGTGTCATGATAATATGAACAACTGCAACAAGTCCGCAAGCAACTGAGGCTCTGCTACAACTAAAGGGTCTTTGGTCACTGAGACTCCTTCTCCATCATCACTCCGTGAGCCCAGGACGAAGCATTTCGAAGGTGAAGCCCAGGATAGCCTCTTGCTCTGCCAATTTGTCAAAGTCATCGTTTATGCTGGAAACGGCAAGTCTGAAGGAAGCGCGCCGATTTCCTCCTAGCGCTTACGTGCGGCACTGACTTGTGGTTCACGAGACTCACCTCGTTCCCAGGAGCGTGGCCTTTCAAGCATGTATAAACCTGGGCTCAGACCAGCAAACCGTTTGCAGAGTCCCCGCGTGGGACAGGATCCCAGAGCACCGAGCGGTGCGAGGAATGCAATCAGTTTTCATAAGCCTGCGCGAACGCTCTCGAGCCCTGCTGCGAAGATGCAGAAGTCAGCGCTAGCTTGGTGGGTGCTGCCTGGAGTCAGCACACCTCCAGGGAAGGCCATCAATCACAGACCTCTCTGCACGCGCACATCGAGCGAGAGAGACTCCTCGGCTCGCTTCTAGTTGTAAGAGGCAGCAGACCGCCCCTTGTCAGCTGGATTTCGAATAGTGTGGGGTTTTTCTTCAAACCTTGAACTCAGTCGGGCCCCAGCGTGTCCGCATGGGCCCTTCCCCTGAGGTTTGCTGTTTGCCCAGTCGAAAATGTTCCCTACATTACATAGGACAGCCCAGTCCATTTCTGATGTACCCTCCTTCTTCCCTTTGCTCTTAGACCCCAGCTGTCTTTTCCGAGGCCCCAAGGAAGGTGCTAAATTGAATCCTGATGTGCCCGAGAGTCCCAAAGGAGCTCACTGCTGTCTCTGGGACACCTGCCCAACCGCCTCGCTGAGCTCCCCGTGGAAACTGAGTAACAGGTATGGGCTGTCGAGCCCGGGTTCGACACTGCCGGGCACTGAACAGCCCCTGGGCGAACGTGCAGGACATTGGTCCCAAACAGGCGCAGAGCTGGAGCCCACCAGCTGCCTCCACGGCCACAGGGACCAGGTGCGGGCGCTCCGCTACCGGCACGGCTCCGCTCGGGCCAGGGCCATCCAGCCGCCGTGTCAGAGAGACGACCGCCAAGGTTTTGTGCCCCGAGACATACTTCTGAAACCTGTTTTGGTTAATAATTGTCCTGAGCGCTGCAAGAACCTTCTCCATCGTCTCTCATTATATAATGAGGCTTACGGGGAGACGGGGGCATGTAAGCAGTGACCTACATGTGCAATACATATCTATAATAATAAAACCAATCTGTCTTTGTTTTTTGTAGTAACATTACTGATTGCTGCTGTCTCCCATGGTTACTATAGTAACTCGGCATCCACAGCTGCCACCTTTTTTGGCGCTTAAAAAGAAAACCTACTGAAAAGCAGCCCCCTGCTAAACTGCCAGCTTGGCTTCAAGCCCCCGGGGAGGTGCAGGTAACAACTCTGCCTCTCTTTGCTGATCTGAGGCTTAACCTCAGAGCCCGTCAGCAGCTGCCCAGGCAGTCGGAGCTGCGATATCTCAGGGTCCTGCTCTGGGTGCTAGGGCCGGGCCAGGCGCCGAAGCCCTTTTGCACCTGCCCTGACGCCTTTGAGTCAGGCTTTGTCACTGTCCCTGCGCCTCTTCGACAGCATCCCAGCCTCCGAGCCAGCGCGCAGG